GTGCAGGATGCAGTGTGAAACTGTGTGAAATTATTAACCAAGCTCTGTTCTAGAGCAAAGATAACTTCCAGTCTGTTTGCTGATTGTTGTGTTGTTTTTCATAGGTTTTAAAAGGTCATAAGACATTCTTGAGTGCTGCTTACAATTGGGAATTCCTAATTTGGGAAACTGCCCTGCTCCTATTCTTGTTGCGTTTGGCATCCCTAGGCTCTGAAACCAACAAGAAATATAGTAATATTTCAATTCTGCTGACTGAACAGGTATTTTTCAATTCTTTGTACTATTTCTCTGACATTATGACAGATCGATAAAGTAATACCTAAAAATAATAAGGTAACAAGGTAAATACACATTTTCAGTTGTTAACTTTGTGTTTATTGTGTTAAATATCCAGAGGCTGTCTTCTGGTGGTAGCAGATCCGTGAACTGTTCATAAAATATTAGTTATGCAACATGTAAGCTTCGGTTTGTCAGTCTTGAAGAAAGGCATGTTTTAAAACCAAGCACTGTAAGACAAAGGTCAAGAAGTGGATAATAATTTTGTGGAGGCCTTTTGTCTTGTGTATGAGTTATAACTCCAAGATACAAGTTTGTGGACTTTTTTTGGGAGGAGGGGATGTAAACTAATTTCAATATCTTTTTGGGAGGAGGGGATTTAAACTAATTTCAATATCTTTATTTTCAAAAATGCCTGTAGAAGCTAAAACATGAGCACTATTTGATGAAAATTGAAGACCGAAGAGATTTTTTTCAATGATTAGGTTTTTAGCAACCTGTATCTTCTTTTCCTTCAGTTTTCCTGTAGATAAGTCTTATAAAACAGTTTTCCGTAGTTATTTTTTCCAAATTCTGGTTTATTAAAAACTGCATACTTATGTAATTTTTTTTTGCTGTTGGTCAGAATTCTTAAAAGTATATTTCAACTAAAGGATATATCTAGGTTTTATTTGGAAAATCTGTTCTCTAGAACCTGTCATCCTTTCAAGCTAATAGGGGAAAAGCAGCGATTGCCTTCTCCCTTTTCCAATTATGGTATATATTTCATGATCATACTGTTGTTATCAAGGTAGACAGTTTGACTTCGTATATGAGTATATATAGTATTTGACTGTTCTATATTTTTTGAAAAGCACACACCATACCATATTTTAGCTGCTGCTTTTACTGGTTACGAAAAATGATGTAATTTATAAAAGTTGCTTTGTTAATGTTTATGTTAACTGTATAGGGAATATAAAGGGAAGTTTAGTGGATATGCCATCCCTGCCATTACAAGGCAGACCTGGATTATTAAAATTGCATAATTTTAATAAACTATACTTAAATAACTCTCCTGCAGATAAACTTGTACTTAAAGATGGAAAAGAAACCAAACAAGAAAGAGCAACTCACACTAGTAAATAACGTCCTTAAACTCTCCACCAAACTATTGAAGGTAAAAATAAAGTAATAATTTGCGCTTCTTTGCCTGTATTCATCTGCTATATTTTTTAAAAAGATGTTTGATGATCTTTTTATTATACGAAAGCAATACTGCTGCATTATAATTCTGTTTCATAACCATAGGAGTTAGATACACCATTTAGACTATACGGATTGACAATGAATCCCTTGATCTATAATATTACACGAGTGGTGATCCTATCGGCAGTCTCTGGAGTTATAAGTGATTTGCTGGGCTTCAATATCAGAGTAAGTGTTGCTAAGTACCTGTTGAGGATAGCTCAGGTGTCTGTTTTTCTAGTGTTGTCTACATAAAGGCGATATTCTGTCTGTGCAACCTTAAACAAAATAGTGTAATCGTGAAAATAAGAGTTACATGCTTCAGATGCATGTAATTTTCAAAGAGTGATAACTTTTAGTTTTTAGATATTTGGGGGTACAATTTGGAAATTGTGAAATCACTGTAAACACAACCCAAAACAGTATTGTATAGTTAAGCACAAAAGACAAGCATCGTATCAAAGAATCTAAGTAAATCTTGTATATGTATCCATAAGCAAACTGTGTATATGATTCTTCTTTGCAAGAAAATATCTAGGGTGCAGTTAGAAGTCTTCAAGGATGCTGTTGGGGCAGTAGGAATCCATGATAGAGATCCAATTTTTAGGTCTTTAAAAGGTAAAGCTTTTCCCGCACATGTGTGCTAGTAGTTTCTGGCTCTAGGGGCAGTGCTCATCTCCGTTTCTAAGCCAAAGAGCCAGAGCTGTCTGAAGACGTCTCCATGATCATGTGGCCGGCATGATTAAACACTGAAGGTGCAGGGAGCGCTGTTACCTTCCCACCAAAGTGGTCCCTATTTTTCTACTTGCATTTTTACATGCTTTTAAACTGCTAGGTTGGCAGAAGCTGGGACAAGTAACAGCAGCTCACTCCGTTACACGGCACTAGGGATTCAAACCGCTGAACTGCCAACCTTCTGATCAACAAGCTCAATGTCTTAGCCACTGAGTCCCTTCTTTTTAGGGCTTTAAGTATTCTTAAAATCACAGTTTAATCTAGTGGTGAACACACCATGCTAGAAAACAGGAGACCGTGAGTTTTAGTCACATCTCAGGCACGAAAACAATTTGGGTTACCTTGGGCCACTCTCTCTGAACCGAACCAACTCACAGTTTGTTGCAGGGAAAATAGGAGGAGGAAGGAGAATTAGATATGCATGTTGCCTTGAGTAATTTATAAAAATAATAAAAACAGGATAAAATGAGGTAATACACATACACACAGATTAAAACCTTGCTACTCTTGCTTATAAAACATGAAATGCACATTGTTGTTCTTTGTGCATTTAACTTTCAAGTGGTAACATAAATATATTGGGAAGAAAAGCAAAAACAACAATGTTACTTTTATTCCTGAGTTTCACCAATGGACTTGGCTTTCACATGAGTTTAATATTTCTTTTCTGATTTTAATGTTTACTTTATTCTTTTTTTTAGTTATGGAAAATCAAACCGTGAGAAAGAAGATGCTGCAGCCCATGTTTTGGGCAGAAACATCCTTTGCTGTCTACATAGGATTGGCATGGCCATTGAAGGTGCTTTTCTAATTATGCCAGTCTTCACATCAATAAAAATGCCATATTTTTCATACATTTTCTTAAGAATTTAGAATTAATTTTTCATTGAGGTCACAGCTTGAAGCAATGGTTAAATAAAGCTTGATAAATAACTTAATTCTAATGTGCTCATCTTAGTTGGTTAAACTAGCTGCTCCTATGGAGCAAAGCAATATGAAATTAGATGTCTTGCAACAAGGTTTATTAAATGAATAAAAAAAAAAGCCAGCATTATTCTGGTCTGAAACTGCTTGCTACACTCAGTGTGACTATAAGGTGAATATTGCTATTTGGTACCTACTAGTAATAATTTAATATGGTGTTTGTTTCTGGCAAGCTCACCTATTTTCTGTAAATTGCAGTTGACCTACTTTTTACATTTCAAAATGCCCGTCATAGTTTATTTCTTGAATGATAGTTGGGCCTGCTTGTTTTGCTGTACTGGGAGAGGAGAATGAAATTTATTCCCACAAAATACAAATAAGCCTCTTCAGCCATTTTACAGTTCAATTTTTCATTGCTCAGTAACACAAAATAGCAATAACAGAAGATGGCTAAGAGTAGATCTGCCACACACCATGGGGATTTAATTTAAAGATACTATTAGAATTCTCCAAATAATGATCTGAATTAGCAGGCAGTCTATCCATGATAGAATTAAAATGTTGATATGCTATCGATGATTTACACAAAACAATTGGAAACTCGTGTTTTTGCAGGGTTAGATAATATTGTTAATTGCTAGCAGTTAGAGTGACAACTGGGTTGGTTCTGAATTTTTTTACTGTAAAGTTTTATTTAAAAGGTTTACATTCCTTCTCCAATTGTTCGAACTGTGGATATATAACATTTTCTTAAATGTGTATTCCGTCTTCCATCTCCACAAATCAGTTTATACATATGTTTTTTTCTATCTGTTATGTTTCTAAATTCACAGTATTAATGGGCCTGTAAAAAGAGTTATCAAAGTTTGGCTGCTATCATTAACATTTATGCAGTAGGTTTTCTTTTTCAAACAATCCATGTTTTTTTCTGGAGGCAATACCTTTAGAACATTCTGTATTATATATAAACTATTATTGGCATTCTGGTAAGCTGCTGAAGGAAGTTGTATGATAGTATTTGAGATTAAATGTTAGTAAAGAGAAATAAAACAGAAGTCAAGAGAGAAGTCAGTGATGCTGTGGGTTTTTTTCAAGTGAAAGGGATAAGCTTGCAAGTATTTATTGCTAGCTGTAGATTCATACAGAGATGTCTGCAGAATTAAGCCGCATTGTATCAAAAGCTCCATCCCTTTTGTACATGCATGTGATGTCACAAAGATCATAGAATGGCAAACTGTTAGTGATTTTTTGAAGAGCCTCAATCACAGTAAGGATGATGTAAAAACCAAAAATGCAAATCCATTCTTTTATTTCTGGTCAACCTTATAAAGTTCCCCACATACTTCCAGCTCATCTGATCTAGAATCAAAGTACTTAATTTTTTTTCTCCAAAAGAATCCTACAATCCATATTTTCCTATTAACAGATCAATTTCCCTTATCTCTCACTACGCTCTTTACAGTTGTCTCCAAATTGTTCCTACATATACCCTTACTGTAGCCTGCCCCTGCTACTTCCTCCCAAATGCCATTCCCAAGTCTTCCCAAGACAGTTGCAGAGGAGTGTCTTGGAAACTCTTCTAAATTAACTGCTCTCTGTAATCTTAAATTATCACAGTCTCTCTGTGTTCACAGTGGCCATTCTGTGAAATAATAAATAGCTGGAGAGCAATGTTCATCTGGAAGTGTCTGTATCCACAACTAAAGATACCAGCAGAATATTCAATTAAAAGCATGGAAGAGAGTCCACTGGTGCAGTAGAAATCATACATTGTCTAATGGTATTCTAATTTACAGACCAAGAGGAGAAAGGTTTTCATTAAGAGGGGTAACAAAGAATCAAAGTTATTAAATCAGATGTTCTTTTTAATGTATCTATATAAAAAATAATGAGTGATTTACAGATCTTTCTAATCAGAATCTGAGAAGTGAATATATAAAGGTGCTGTACAAAATAAAACATTTACATCCAATACAACCATATTTTCTGAACATTCCAAGGCCACATTGCTAAATCATTATCATCAAGTTAAATACAAAGTTTCTGGAAAAAAGGGCTCACATCAAACAGAAGACAACAAAATAGGTCACATCATTAAATGGATAAACAATATCTGGATAGTTGGAAAATAAAGTTATTTCAGTTTTATTATTTTGATATTTCTGCAGTTTTCATTCAATATTATTTTGTGACAAAATATATAGAACCTTTTGAAGGTTGCCTCATGATATTTGTCAAATTAATTTACATAGTCTAATTCAGATATTTAATATTTTCACAGTAATATTCTACAATATTTGCATATACTTCCTACAGTAACTCGAGTTTGTAAATGATAAGAGCACACAATTAATACACATTAAAAGCTGTATCAGATGACAATTTTTTTTAAAAAAAGTTGATGTCTTCTACAACTGATTTGTCTTAGTACTTCATTCCAATAGAAATACTCAGATGTCTAAGGAATAGAGTTTTTAATTCAACTGCATCTGAACTATAATTTGAGCTATTGTACAAACTATTTTCAAGAAACGGGAATCAATAAACTAATGGGGAGAATATTATTGAATAAGTCTTAAGCTCTATCATATATCTAAGTAAAATGAGTCTTAGAACTTTTGTTCAGAGCTATTACATATGGATTTTGCAGATTGGTAAACTCACATTCTTCCATGGTTTATGTGAATGTCATATCTGGTTGTAGGATGATGAATAATAAGTAGCCTTTGAACTCTTTTGTTTTCTGTATTTTTTATATCTGTGGGTCCAAAGAGCTTCAATGACTTTAACCTATTGAATCTGTGTTTGCTTTAGGGCTAAACCTTTTCATTAGTCGATCTCATAGTCACTAACAGTTCTTTCTGGAAAGTCCATAGCTTTTTAATAGTTGACTGGCATGCTGATATATCATGTGTTATTGGTCTGATTACTTCTGATAAATTGGGCTAATAGGATCAGCACAAGAGGAAGACCATCGGCAAGCAACACTAGCACTTCCAAAGTGGCAGGCTATATTCTCTTTGAAAACAGTTTCAAATCATGCGGTGGGTAGAAGGGGGGGGCAGTTTCACAGCAGTTTAATCTCTCAAAAAACAGTCCCTTTTTGAGATTATACGAAATTACCAAAGACCTAGAGTCTCTCCCCCATCTATTTCTATGACTTCTAAAGCATTCAAAGCAAATAAATCAGAGACTAGGAGAACTGTATGTCAGCCATCTAAATCTGAATACAAACAAAAAATCTTCTGAAAACAGCATCTCTAAAGCCCTCGGCTGCTAGCAAGTGAGATAATATGTTAAATTGCAAATCTAGGCATATACAAAAGAAGATTCTGCCTAGACAGAATTTGTAATTTTACTGGTGAGAAGAAGCTTGCTAGTATGGAATAGGAGGCTTACACTTTTTCTGTTTAAAATAGGGAAATAAGAATACCAATTTCACTACTATAAAGGGGAGACTCTTAGTATCAGAATAGTTAGAAGCAATATCAAACAGGTGTGCACAATTACATGTCTGCTGCTAGTTTGAGGACTATGGTACTGATATTTCGTTTAGGTTTCCCCAAAGTATGAAGAAAAGCAAACTTGCCTAACCAATATAAAACAATTATAGACATCACAGAAAATAGTTGTTCGACTATAGCAGGTACAAAACTAGCATTTTATGATAACTACAAAACTAAAGATAGAGGACGACAAAAAGGGGAGAAAAAATACCTTCAGTAGAAAAATGAATATGTACTGATAAAAGAAAAATTAATACAAAATGGCTCATCCGAAAAGCATGAGGAACTTGGAAGAGAGCAATTCAATAAAGACTTTAAACATCTTAAATACATACCCATGTGTGCACACACACTCAAAATAAAAATTATTTAAGTTATCCATGTCAACTGTTAAGATCTGTAAGAATGTATTTTTATTTTTCTTAACTGACCACTGCCTTTCATTCAAATCCATTCAAAGGAAACCATTCATTGCCAGAATGGTTTTTTAAAAATTACAAGAGTTCATTGTTCTAGAGGTTGCCACTCCAACGACCTATACGCCTGAAGAATTAATGTGCTATACCCATAACATTCCTCCCATTATGATAATCATGCACAAGCAGTGAGAAATTTCAGAGAGATCTTTTAAATTTGGAAGTACTTTTTATGTACAGACTTGGAAGTCAGTGTAACAGGCTTCTTTAATAGGCACAAGGACAATACTTAAGAATTTTACTTTGGTGGGTAAATTCTAATTTATTTTGCTTGCTGGGATTTAAGATTTTAAAATGTTCGAGCAAGGCAACAAATGTTCAAGTATTTCGCCAGCATTAACCCAAAAAACAACCAACAACAGATGGAAATTCTGACAAATAGCATGACAGAAAGCTAAGCAGCATATGCAGCCATTGCATGTTTAATTTCTAATTTTAATATGTATTATAATAAGTATCAGGAAATAATTTGATTATGTGCTTGACACATGTGCTTTCCTAATCTCATCCCATTAAATGTGATTTCCAAACTGCTCAATTCTAAGATTCGATTTGTATCACAGATAAAATAATAAAACCAATATAGAATAAAATAGCAAGGTGTCATATATTTATTGATAAAGGCCTACTGTCTTTTTTACAGTTATTTTGCAGATTTAGAAATTTGGGAAGGGAAGAAAAAAACTGTGAAAAAGGCAACAGTGTATGTTAACTTTCTGACTCCTCAGTGTCAAGAAAATCACACCCACCCTGCCTTTACTTTAGCTGTGAGAACTTAGAAGTATTCCCTATGTAAACATGCAGCATGCCTGAGTAAACACCCATTTTAAACAAAATCCTTTTCTGTGGCAGTGGAAAATGCAGGAAAAGATTCAATGGGCTACAGTAGATAACTTGGCACAAGAACAAGTAGTGACTTATGATCCACTAATAATAGGCATTAAATAATGTTCATTAACATACAATACTATCAGAAAATCTTAGCAGTGCAACATTAGGAGCAGCAGGACACCATCTTCAAAGGAGACAAAAGGACAACAGCTTTTGAAGAGTTTCTGATATGCAATCTGAAAAGGTCCTTCATGCAGCCTAATAAAAGATCAAATCAAATGTACTTTCCATTCTGTCACAGTGTCTAAAAAAAATATGAGTTTTTTGGGAAAAAGTTTAATGACTACATTTAAAAACCTGATTAAAATGTGTTCTTAAAAAAGTTGGTCAATCAAACCCGTTTGTTAGTCAGACCCATTGCTTTTGTGACACGACTTGTACTTGGTACTTTCCAAGGTCCAGGAACTATTGTTTTCTTTACCGGAGAACTGCTCTCGGATTTGGACATTCCATCGTCTTTGGTTTTATCAGCTAGCTCCAAGTTATCTGTAAGTTTGTTCAGGAAAAGAGGCTCATCTGCTTCAAGTCTAGAGTTTTTATCCACAGAAATGAATGAATCATCAGGAAGATCTGACTTGTGAAATTGCTTAGAACTTTTCATATTCTCATCTTCCAAGATTTTCTTTCCAGGCTGATTAGTCTTAGAAAGTGAGAGAAACTGTTCTCCTACCTTGGTGTACTGTATCTCTGAAGGATATTTTGAGTTATTTGTAGATAAATTTGGCTTTGTTATTTCCTTTGTGACTCCTAATTTTACCTTTTCAGTTTTTAGCAGCCTACTAGAACTTGTATCATTAGCAGCTGTTTTGCTTTGAAAGTCTATGTTCAGTTTTTCTCTGCTTCTCTCTCTCTTTGGATATTTTTGGGGACTGACAGACTGGTCTCTTTTCCCCTTGGCCAGGATTTTCTCTATATCAGCATTCTCAAAGATTCCCAGATTACCACTTTCATTTCTTTTTGGTTTTTTTAAGTGGTCTAAGCAATTCTCATCTAGATGTTTAGTTTCACTTTTCTTAGATTTATCGAATGGAAGTTGATTATGATCTCTGGAAGGACTATTGCTCAACTTCTGGGGACTAGCTGATTGGCTTTTACTGGCTGCATTGCCCGATGCTAATTGTGCAGTACTGTGCATCACTTTATTATCTGGAATGAAAGTGTGGTCCCAGTTGTTCACTTGCCTTTGTGGACAAACTGTTTTCTTTATCTCCAAATGGTTTTCCATTAAAGTGCTTTTCTTTTCAGGCACAGTGTTCTTCAGTTTTTCTAGTTTCTCAGACATCTGAAATTTCATTAGAGCTTCTGATTCTGACAAATGAGATGCTTCAGATGTGTAAGCAGAATGTAATGATGAGGGAAGTGAAGTCTGTTCACCATGGGTTACACTTGAGGATACTGGATTAAAACTATCCAGACCACCTATATCAAAATAAAAAATAATGTATAAGAGCAAAACAATAAAAAGATATTATCAATCTTTAAAACCCTTCCAATTATGATTGAAATATGCAAAAACAACTTATTACTATAAGAAAAGACTATATTTAAGTATGTTATAAGAAAATTTAGATTTTAAATGTATAATATAATGTATGATAAAATATAGTACCCTATAATACAGGATAACTATTCCTTCTGGAAACCTGGTTTCTATGTCTCAATTCTTTCTCTTGCAACAGGAAATCTCTGAAACCACATTTTAGTCAATTTCAGTTATACTTTTTCTGTACGACAATTAAAACAGTATTTCTTTCTCTTGTAGATGGTTTTATTCTCAGAATATATACTTTGTTCTCCTTATCCATTAATTCATTTTAATTTATTTACCACTGATTTTCATTTTGTAGCACTGTGTGGATTACTCTCAGAACTACAATCATGTAGAGCCAATCAAATCCCAAATATGGCCAATATGGCACAAATCCTGACTAAATTAAACAGTTTAGCTGCATAAAGGATGGCCACTAGATACTTAGTTCTCTTCTTCACCAACTTTTCAAGTTGAGAGAGGAGAGAAATGACATTGCATCTCGTTTATGTGCCAGAATTAGAATTTCATTTTCTGATTTTCAAAAAGTAGGACTGACAAAAAGGGAGACAAAGCATAACAGTGATGCTGAAGTATGCAGGAACTTTACTCAAAGATACATCAATAGTATGTGGTGTGCTAGAAAAAGTGATTGTTATAGCAGGTGGCTTGTCTCATTTCTATTCCTTGGATAATGAACTAGAGTATGTGGAATTAAGGACCTCTAAAATTGATTCCTCTGTGTTACTTGTGGCCTACACTTATCACAACTCATGTCAAATTTAAACTAGCTGAGTGAAAAACTATTATTCAAAACAAATAAAAAGTGGCTAATCACAATACATGCTGATTTACCAAGTTTAAGGAAAGACCAAAGAAAGCCCTGAAAGCTTTAATGCTGCTCAGTTTTCACGTAGGAACACAAGCTGGAAGGAGCCAAACCTGAGGGAGGAAGAGAAAAAGCCCAGGACTATATACCAAAAATCACAGCAAAGAGTAAAAGAAATATATAATTACAAGCAGAGTGTAAGAATATGAGGGAGGAGAGTATCTCAGCTGACTTGGATATTTCCAAATTCAGCATCCCATCAAAAGAATTTTTTAGGACAGCCTATTACAATTCAGGGCCTTCCAGATCCATTGGAGACTACAACTCCTTGAATTCCCTACCAGTAGAGGTATATTAAGAATTCTCACTAGAGATGATGTCACTATCTCCAATGTACCTGGAAGATAACAGGTTAACAAAAATCTGATTTGGAGAAATCTTAAGATTAGTATGGGGTGGTTTTGCTCTTTTTAATGTATACTTTATAAAATCTAATTGTTCTAATAAGAGCAGACAAAGCAGACAAAAGAGAAAAGAGACAGCAGATTAGCTTTTTATTGGTGTAATAAGCAGAGAGAAGACACAATAAAACTTGTTTTCTAGCTATATGTATATGCTTTTCTGCATCAGCAGTGGGAAATCTGTCTGACAACATAAATTGTATGTTGAGAAGATCATACTACCCTTTTTCTTAAAGTACCCAGTACCTAACACAGCTTTGAGTGCTTTTAAAGTGGAAAAGCAAGATTTAACCCGCCCAAAGTTGTTTTGATACAAGATGGGCAGCAAATAAATAATAAACAAAATACAGTTGCAAGAAAAAGTATGTGAACCCCTTGGGATTACGTGGAGTTTTGCATGAATTGGTCATAAAATGTGCTCTGAACTTCATCTAAGTCACAACAATAGAAAAACAGTCTGCTTAAAATAATACTACACAAACATTAGATGTTGCCATGGTTTAATTGAACATAACATGTAAACATTCACAGTGCAGGGAGGAAAAAGTATGTAAGCCCTTAGCCTAATGACTTCTCCAAGAGCTAATTGGAACCAGGAGTGAGCCAACCTTGACTCCAATCAGTGTGATGATATTGGATGTGTTGCTAACAGCTGTCCTGCCCTTTAAAAACAGACACCTGTTTTGGGTTTACTGGTTTCAAGAAGCACTGTCTGATGTGAATCATGCCTCGCAGAAAAGAGCTCTCAGAAGACCTACGATCAAGAATTGTTGACTTGCATGAAGCTGGAAAGGGTTACAAAAATATCTCCAAAAGCCTTGATGTTCATGTGTCCATGGTAAGACAGACTGTCTACAAATGGAGAAAATTTAGCACTGTTGCTACTCTCCATAGGCATGGTCGTCCTGTAAAAATGACTGCAAGAGCACAGCGCAGAATGCTTCATGACGTAAAGAAGAATCCTAGAGTGTCAGCTAAAGACCTACAGAAATCTCTGGCACATGCTAACATTTTTGTTGACACATCTACAATAAGAAAAACATTAAATAAGAATGGAGTACATGGGAGGACACCACGGAGGAAGCCATTGCTGTCCAAAAAAATATTGCAGCACGTTTGAAGTTTGCAAAAGAGCACCTGGATGTTCCACAGCACTACTGGCAAAATATACTGTGGACAGATGAAACCAAAATTGAGTTGTTTGGGAAGAACACACAACACTATGTGTGGAGAAAAAAAGGCACAGCACACCAACATCAAAACCTCATCCCCACTGTAAAACATGGCGGAGGGAGCATCAGAGTTTGGGGCTGCTTTGCTGCCTCAGGGCCTGGACGGATTGTTGTCATTGATGGGAAAATGAATTCCAGTATTTATCAAGACATTTTGCAGGAAAACGTACGACCATCTGTCCGCCAACTGAAGCTCCGCAGAAGATGGGTGATGCAACAGGACAATGACCCAAAGCATACAAGTAATTCAACAAAAAAATGGCTTCAACAGCACAGAATATGCCTTCTGGAGTGGCCCAGTCAGAGTCCTGACCGCAACCTGATTGAAATGCTGTGGCATGACCTTAAGAGAGCAATTCACACCAGACATCCCAAGAATATTGCTACGCTGAAACAGTTTTGTGAAGAGGAGCGGTCCAAAATTACTCCAGATCGTTGTGCAGGTCTGATCTGCAACTACAGGAAACGTTTGGTTGAGGTTATTGCTGCCAAAGGAGGGTCAACCAGTTATTAAGTCTAAAGGTTCACATACTTTTTCCTCCCTGCACTGTGAATGTTTACATGTTATGTTCAATTAAACCATGGCAACAACTAATGTTTGTGTAGTATTATTTTAAGCAGACTGTGTTTTTCTATTGTTGTGACTTAGATGAAGTTCAGAGCACATTTTATGACTAATTCATGCAAAACTCCACGTAATCCCAAGGGGTTCACATACTTTTTCTTGCAACTGTAAATTTTAAGTGAACATTTAAAATCAAAGTTCACCTCCTACATATACTCTGGGAATTGAGATAAACTTTTCAGCCCATTGCCCAGATGCTTGCTAAGTGAAGTGGAATAGATGGCTTCTGGCAGGAGGTTAGGCTTACGGTTCCAATTATTGCATGCTTTCCTCAAGTAGCATCTTTACCTCTATATATTGTGGTCTTTTAGGCAACCTTACTTTCCTGTGCTCTTACATTCTTATTGTGATCTATATACATTCAGGGTATTTCTGAAATATACATCAAGTTGTGAGCTACAATAAATTTATACTGCACAATTTTAACTTTTATTATTATTGAATTACTTTAGCTGTCACTGTAAGCTCTCTGGAAAACAGTAGCTACAAGGTGAAATCCAACTTGTAAGTAAATATTTAAATAGGTCATTTATAATTTTCTAGGGTTTGAACATCTAGTTATTCAAATTAGCAATAAATACATCTGTACTGTGCTGAATAAATCAGTTGTAGTTCATACACTCAATAGTTGGGGTCCCATCATACCATGGTCTGGTATTAATCCAGTCCCTGGTCGCAAAAGGAGTAGAACTTTGTTTCCTCCAGACTGAATCAATTCAATGGCTCGTGTATGGGTGATTCCTTGTGTCGGTTCACCATTGATTTCAACAATCTGGTCACCAACCTGAGGAGAAAAGCATCTTCATTAAGTTGTAAAAAGTTATTTTCCTTGTTAGCATTTTGTTTACACTTACTTTAACATTCTACCTTATGTTATACTTAATTGAAACCCAGTTAATAATACTGACATTATCACAAATATTAGAGTAATCCATAACAACACTTATTTCTTAATATAAACTTGATCCTCACCAGACCACTCAGTTACTCTCCAGATAATTCAAAAAGATTCAAGCTTTAAGAATTGTAACTGATGTAAGGCTGCTGAATGGCGATATAGGCTAGCTATGAGGTTGGAGATGATCTACAGACTGTATAAATGGCAATCTATATACTTATAAAAACTAATGTGAAAGTATGGGTAATATTCCATATGGCTAGAATAAATACGTAACAGAAGGAAATATGCATACATTCTTCCCATTTATTATGGCATTCAGAGAATTTGGGAAGTGTTTTTGAAAAAGATGGGAGTCTAGAAAGAGAGAGAAAAAACTTTGGAAAGCAACACTGGGGACAGGACAGTAGCCAACAAAAATATGAATTAGTGGGGTCTAAGAGGCTAGTTAAATGACAGTTCCAAAACTTCGTCTTAGGCTCTATTTTCTCTTTATAAAACACTGTCCACTAAGTATAAAAAAGAATTAATGTTAAAATGTGAAACTAAGCTTCTGCTGTTCAGCTCTACAGCTGAGCAGGGAAAAAGTGAAAAATCAGACTCCCAACACTTCTAAAGTATTGAGATTACAAACTTGAAATGTAATCCTCAGTCCGAGAACTATCACATTAAATTCTATTTATTTTCCTATCAGTAATTTCTATTTCCTTAGCTAAGGCTGCTCACGTGATTGCAAACTTAACACTAAGGTTCTGATGCTGATGTGCTCTTACAAAACAATAAAAAGAACATGTTAGCACTAATGTTTGTTGTATTATGGTTCTTGTCTATACAGTGGTTTAAACTGCTTTGAAACTCATCACATTTGGTACTCAACACATTTTGATGCAAAAATTTTGTTCCGGTTTGTTTGGTACTCGACACATAAACTAGAACTTGTCAGTTTTGGCTGCCTTATGACTCACTACATTATTCCTTATGGGAAAAAATTGTTTAGTACTCATTGTTTTTGGTACTCAATGCAGCTCCTGGAACTCATTAACGATGAATACTGAGGTACTATGAGTGCTGAAGTACTGTACTATGTCTGATCATTATATGAACCCCCAGAAATATGAATACCACATGGGCCAAAAAAACGTGAAGCACATTCCTAAGAAAGATGACTAACCAATTATTTGCAATGGCATTAGCAGATCTGAGATCTCTACAGAGGAGCATCTAGTTCAGATAGATGAAACAAGCTGTTTCTTGTAGCTGAACAAGAAAGAAAAAAGTTTCCAGAAAACAGGTTTTTTCCTGAACTTCATTAAGATGTTAAAGGAGAAAAAAAGCATGTTTTATTGTATGCTTAACATATACATAGCATAGAACATAGAATTCTTTATTGGCCAAGTGTGATTGGACACACAAGGAATTTGTCTTGGTGCATGCGCTCTCAGTGTGCATAAAAGAAAAGATACATTCGTCAAGAATCATAAGGTACAACACTTAATGATAGTCATAGGGAACAAATAAGCAATCGAATCATATTAGGAAATGGTCAATATAAATTGTAAGGATACCAGCAACAAGATTACAGTCATACAGTCATAAGTGGGAGGAGATGGGTGATAGGTACGATTGCAAAATTAATAGTAGTGCAGACTTAGTGAATAGTTTGACAGTGTTGAGGGAATTATTTGTTTAGCAGAGTGATGGCGTTCGAGAAAAAACTGTTATCGTGTTTAGTTGTTTTGGTGTGCAGTGTACTACTTTTGTTCCAATGTGGGGCTACACTCAATAAGCATGAATACTAAAATGTATTAAATGCATTACACTCTTAAATACTCTTATTATATGGACTGAACATAAGAGATCTGGGTAAAATTCCAATGCAATCCTTGAGTTTAATTACTATCTCACTTTTCCTTCCATATTAGAGCAGATATTTTAAAATGGTGACTATGTTCCAGTGAATTTGCTGTGAAAGGTTAGATATTTACATTTTGTTAGATAGGACCTTTCCACAAAAAAATATAATTGAATTTTCATGACCAGCATTAGTTCATTTAAATATTTCTGTCTCAAGAATTCTCTCTTCCTATTGCCAAAGCTGGGTTAGAGTAAACATGAGTATAGAGTACAAAATAATTGCCTGAAAATAATTGCATAAATTCACATTTAATAAAAATGGCAGAGAACAGTATCAATACTTATATATAGAATAAATATTTAATATTTGATATTTAAAATAGCAAATTAATATTAAATTCGCTTTTAAAAACAATAGGTGATCTAACCAACTAGGTCTAATACATACTTACATGAATTCTCCCATCTTTAATGGCAGGTCCTTCCTCAGCTAGTCGAAGAATAAATAGCCCCATATTATACTCTTTTCCACCACGAAGGCTAAATCCAAAGCCACGAGGACCTCTCTCCAGTTCTACCGGATAACAACCAGGATTCTGTGCAAATAATAGATATACAAATTAAAATTATATCGGGAAAGACTTTCAACTCTTTGTTAGAAAAAAATCAATTTCCTAAATTCAAAGAAATTGTATGCAATTATTAATGTAATGACATTTGATATGTTTGACATTATAGTAATATCTGTATTAATTCCACATGTAAATTCTACTTTTCCTGTGGCAATAGCAATAGCACATACCCTTTAATAGTGCTTTACAGCCCTCTCTAAGCAGTTTAAAGAGTCAGCATACTGCCCCCAACAATCTGGGTCCTGGTTTTACAGATCTTGGAAGGATGGAAGGCCGAGCCAATCTTGGGCCAGTCAGGATCGAACTCCTGGCAGTGAGCAGAATTAGCCTGCAGTACTGCATTCTAATCACTACGACTCTGTAAATTTTAGAAAGCTATCACTTGCTGTTCAGAAAGGATATAAATCTGGCCCTTTATGCTTTTCCATAACTGAAGCATGAGCAAAAATTCAGTTCAAAAATCCTGGTTGATGTCTTTGATAACAACTTACTCATTTTTTTCTTGTTACATATGGACATTTAGAATACTGAAAACTGATGGGAGATAATGGCACTCATTTTTTCTACTAAATATTACACATTAAAATTTCAATGCATAACAAAAAGAAAATGGAGACTGATTTGTAATGATCAAATTCCATGGTATCTATCTACCAAAGTATCATTTTTTCCCCATGAAAATAATTAACAGAATCTCAGGATTATCTTGAGGTATGCTCTCTACATATTTCGCTGATATCTTTTAAAATTTCAAATACATTAAACTGATATATACCATGTTAGAAATACTAACAAAACAGATTGGATTGGATTGAATTGAATTCAACAGATTGAATGCCATCTTCAAGAACTAATACACCATAGAGGTGAAGGCTTTTGCATCCTAAGGATATTATGACTTATAGTGCTGAAAGTGTATTCTCTCTGAAAAATATGATTCATTGAAGAAGGAAATGATAAACTACTCCAGTATTCTGCCAAGAAAAACAGATATTCATAAGCAGGACAATGTTAGAAGATGACCACCTTCCCCCCAAGTTGGAAGGTAACCCTAACCCTAACCCTTCCTACTACCTAAAAGTTTGTGTTATGATCAGGAAGAGTTAGAATATGGAACTAACTGGCTCAAAAATGGGGGACGAGCATGCCAATGAGACACACTGTCACCTTATTCATTTAACTTATATGCAAAATAAAGCATGCATATTAGCAAGAGAAACTGGGATTAAAGTTACTACAAGAAACATTAATTACCACAGATGTGCTGATGATGTCATCTTGATAGCTGGAAGTGTGAAAATGACTTTAGGAAATTTTTTTGAAAGGGAAATGAGAGACTACAAAGGCATTTCAAGGGATAGTGGCTTAAGTAAAATAAAGAGATGCCAGCTATCTGGAAGAAAAACTCTTAGAAACCTAGATAAAATAATTAAAGTGCACTGATATTAGACTGACAATAAAGGTAGTATATATTGACAATGCCTTATTATATCCAGTCATAACAAATGGCTGTGAAACATTGATTATCAGGAACAAAGAAAATATTTTTCTTTGACTTATTGAGAATAGATTAGACCATAAGAAAGCATCATTCAGTACTAGATAAAGATTTCACCCAAAGTCCCACTGAAGATTTTACCTAGTTTGGTAATGAAACATCTGGGAGCTAAACGGCAAGCTTGGAGAACAAACCTCTATCAAAATCTACAACTCAAGCTACAAATATTTTCTAATATTTCATATTGGCTGTATACTGCAAAGCAAGGGAGAAGACTCCAATGCTAAAAAAATAAAATAAAAATAAAGGGAAGGGAATCAAAAGAGGCTGACAGATGAAGGAAGGCTAATAGAGGTATCCTCTACTTACAATAGGTTGCTTAGGAACTATTCAAAGTTAGGTCATTGCCCTGGGGCAACTTATGATGCGGATTCAAAGTTCTGATGGTGAGGCCCGTCATTTAGTCAAGTGACTGGATGATCAGGAACAAGGCTGCAAATAGGGCCATTTGCAGTAACTCATGGTCATATGACTACATTTTATAATTGTTTTGCTGAAAACAGACACTTCTGGATTTTGGCAAAACCATTCCCCCAGAGAACCATCAGTTTGCTTAACAACTGTAGTGTCTACTTTATGACTACCATGTTTGCTTAATGGCTGCCATATAAAAGGTCATAAAAATGTGACTGACCCATTTTATGACTGTCACAATTTATGAACACAATGGGCAGGCTCCAATATGATTGTAAGCTGAGAATTACCTGTAGTATAACTGATAACAGAATCATAAACCACTCAAAGAAGTGGTTAATGACAGACAATTCTGGCAAAATCATATGTACCAGAAGGCCTGAAAAAATCATAAGCAATTGAATGACTGCACAATAATGTCCTAAAGCCAGTCTTTGCTGCTAGAAGCACAAAGACATTTAATGAACCTTCCTACAATATCTGGAATATTCCACTGACTATCCAGATTAACACAGGGTCCTTCCTTCAACATCTATTATTAACAGAAGAGTTCAGTTCCTATATAATAAAAAAAAGTTGAATAGCTATTTTCTAGGAAGTATATTTATATACCTGAGAAAGTGTGCTCCCTCCGAGAGACCCAACAACTTCAGTTAATGAGAAGTGTTTGTAACTGTTGCATTGTTCTTTTCCGCCATCAGCTTCTATAGCACCCCTGAAGTATAAGGAAGCATATGGATCGTTACAAGGGCCTCTGTTGAGTTCTCCCTAAAGGAAGATTAGAATGGATTCCTAAAGGAATTTACCAAATATAAGCCAGGTTCCAAAGTTCAGCCATAGAAACATATTCTCCACATACAAAATTAAACAGGCTGTAGATATTCTTGTGCAGATATCATTTCTTGTAATTTCCTAGTCAAATTCTTTGAATTAATTTTGAACTCTAATTCATAACATTAAAGAATAAAATTTGAAATTGAAAGGACTGGCCAGAATGTGCCACAATTTCTTAAGAGGAAATGCCGATTTTCTATTAGTCCATTTCCTATCAAACTATATTTTGAATGAAATTACTAATTAGGATTAAAAAAGAAATGTGCCACAAAATTTCTTTGAGATTAAAATGCCATAGTTTACTAAAACAATCTGCAATGCCCTGAAATAGTTGTCATTTATTTGTAATGTATGTATTCTGTTAGTGTTTATCATTTTCTCTCAAAAATGTATGTCAATCTTTTGTGAAAGTTGCACAAAACTAAGATAAATTTCCATTATTTTCAATGGATTTATTAAAACACTTGCATTTTATAAATATTTCAAAGAATTTAAGGAAAGTTGTATACAGTAAATGATTATTTCCAACTTTAAAAAAATTGCAGAACATTTGATGAAACCGAATATTATATCACTAATATGGGCCATATTAAGATTGGATGAAGTATCTTTAATCAAGTAACTTTTTCTGAGATAATTAGAGCTACATGGCAGAAGGAAGATGTTCATTTCTAACATCCATTTTTATACCATGAATAATTATAACTTCTCACAGAAGCTCTTTAATCTTTAATCAGTTTTATTTTGTTCATTTTCCTCTTCCAGAGGACTTTTTCTCTTTGGCATTCATTTAAATAAATCTGCAGTTTGAAGTCTCTGATACATTACCTATTACTACAGGCTTGAAATAAAAACAATCTTGTGGCATATGAATGATAAATTTATTGCTGCAAAAGCTTTTGTAGTTTGCTTCATCATATATATCATGACAAGGAAATTAATAGTAAAATGGCAAAAGATGATAAATGCAGACTATTCTGTAAAAAATATACATACACATCGAGTAAGAAAAACATCATAGAAATATTTCTCCTGGCAATATGAGGGAAGACATCTCCTGCATTCTAACTAAAAAATTAGTCCGGATGATGAAAAAAATCTGAGGAACTGAAAAGTTCTTTTGCTGCCTTTACAAAAAAGAAGTTAGGTGTTTAATTTCATTTTCATGTTTATTTGTGGTCTAAAAATAAAGTTTGTACCTGTCAGTAGACACAGAAGAAGCTGGAACTGGTCCAAGAACTCGATGCTGTACAATTGGACTCTGTTTGGCGGAGTTTGCTCCTGATGGGGGACCACGGTGTTCTAATGAAGATACAAGTAGCTGATTAGATACAGAATATATTAGCAGTACTAAAACAAAGATAAAATAAAATCTTGTTAAATTGTCATTTAAATATTCAGACTGCTTTGAAGAACAACATTTTTGTCAGCTTAGAATGCTGAAAGAAATAGATCAAGGCAGTAGCAAATCCCCTCTTACCAAATACCTATAACCTTGAAGAAATGAAAAGCACATATGCTCCTTGAAGCTACTATTTATATCTAACAGCAGGGGTGAAATCCAGCCGTTCTATCCGGCTCGGGCAAATTGGTAGCGGCAGCTGTGGGAGGCTCCGCCAACCCATGCGGACATCATGATGTCACTTTTTTGTGACATTTTAAGTGTCTACGCAGGCGCAGGTGGCTTTGTGCATGCACAGATGATGACGCGCACACACATTGGCAAACCAGTAGGGAAGGTAAGTAAATTTCACCCCTGTCTAAAAGTATTTTCTGACTAAAAAGTGAAAATTGGATAGTTATTTGGGATAGGAGTGGTTGAGGAAAAGAGAATGGCAATGTTTAGTTCAACACTCATTAATGCTTCTTTATCAAAAGGAAAGGCAAGAATTTCTGATGAGAGGTTTATCTACATTTCAAATATAAAAACAAAAAGCTCTCTATAGCTATCTCTCTTCTAATTACATGTTGATGATAGAACTTAGCAGAGGGATCTGCAATGGAATGGATCTGCAATAAAATTACAACTTTGGTAACCAGATCCGATACTGTGAAGTTAGTAAGTTAGCATCCATTATCTCAAACTGTCCCTGAAAAGGACTAACTAGCAGAATCAAATACTGAAATATAGCCTTTGTAGCTTTCTTAGTCAAGTAATTTAAGAGACTTCTAAATTGACATTTCCAAGACCCTTTTAGAAGCAGCCCCTGTATAATGCCTAAAGATGAATAATTAGTGTAAGCGAATAACACATCACTGTTAAAATGAATTTGCTAAGAAATGGTACTGAATTACAGTTTATTGGTTTTCATGTAGTTTATTAGCGGCCTCAGATTATTATTCAACATCCCTACATCGTACCCGATAAACCAAGACAGAGCTTTTATTGTTTCTAATTTTTTTCAAATAATTTCACTCAATAGTTTTTTACACATCTTCAACATGTGGGAATAAGACAGAATTTTGTAGAACTCCAAAAATGGCATAGGACCAAGCAGAAATCCTTAAATACCTATCTGACTGCCTAGATATGAATGAGCCGCTAGAGGTACAGTACTCTCAACCTTCAACCCAGCTAATATATGCAAAAATATTTTTACAACTGTTGTTGAAAGATACTGATATTGCCACCATGTAGAAGACATAAACAAATGCAACTTCAGTGAACAGAAATATAACAGTATTTCTTACCTTCTTCAGCAATAACAGTGAGTGTGACAGTATTCCCTGCATCTTTGATCAGCTGCACAATATTTTCATGTGACAAATCTATAATTGATTGTCCATTCACTGCAGAAATTCTGTCTCCTACTTTCAGTTTTCCACATTGATCAGCTGGACTCCCATCTATAACACGTCCAATCTTATGAGGAATTACTAGGAAATGAACAAAGTAATATTCTGCATCACACATTACAGCAGTTTTATTTTATTATCATTTATGCAAATCACTACACAATTGCATAGAAATGTCACCAGATTCATAACTTGATATTAATATTAATAGTCTGATTTATCTATACTTAAAATTGTTTTGGGTTTACACTGGCTAAATTATTTCTCAAAGACTTCTAGAATTATGGTCTTATAAAGATGATGAAGCTACTGTTAAGAGATTTTTAACTCTTTCCTATAGTTATAAAAATCCTGAGATTTCCTTGGGAGAAAGAAGAGAATTATTTTAAATTAAATCTGTATGGTGATTTAATTTAAATTAATTAAATTACAATTGAGGAGATCTTGTGGAAATCTTCACAGCCTTTAGAACCTAATTACAAGCAAAATCAAATAGATTACCAATCATAAAAGGAGGTAAGGAGTAAAGAGAAAGAAGAAAAACTCAGATGCAAAGTAGGAGATATAGGAAGCATATCCAGGGTTAGCCACAAAAAACTAAAGTGCCTATACACTAATGCTCATAGTTTAGGGAACAAACAGGGTGAACTTGAAATACTAGTACATGAGGGCAAGTATGTTATAGTTGCCATTACAGAAACTTGGTGGGATGAAACTCATGACTGGAATGTACTGATAAAGGGATATTTATTTATTTATTTGTCAAGCATATATAAGATAACAGGTAAAAGTATAAACATAATTTGAATACATGAAAAGAGTAAGTAAAAAGGAATATTAGGACAGGGACGGTAGGCATGCTAGTGCACTTATGCATGCCCCTTACAGACCTCTTAGGAATGGGGTGAGGTCAACAGTAGACAGTCTAAGGTTAAAGTTTTGGGGAAAAAGAAAAAGAAACAGACCTAACAAAAGAGGAGGTGGAGTTGCATTATATGTTAGATCACTTCCTCTCTACAAAGATGCACACAAGAAAGGATGAAAGCAGAATGCTTATTGGTCAACATAAAAGATAAAAAAGAATGATGTTGCCATAGGTGTATACTACAGGCCACCCAACCAAGCAGAAGAAATAGATGAACTTTTTGGTAATCAATTAACCAATGTATGTAGGAAACACACCACAATAGTAATGGGGGACTTTATCCTGACATGAACTGGGAGACAAACTCTGCAACAAGTGGATGATTGAACAGTCTCCTGACCCATCTAGCTGACAACTTCATAACCCAAAAGGTAAAAAGGCAACTATACTGGATCTTATTCTTACCAACAGCAAAGAAATGATAGAGGGAATTGAAGTTGCAGGAACCTTAAGGGAGAGTGATCATATTATATTAGAATTCAATAAAAAAAGAGACACAAGCACCAGAACATAATCAAACCAGTGCCTTAGACTTTAAAAGAGCTGATTTTAACAAACTCAGAGAGAGCTTGGGAATGCAAGCCCTCTCTGTAGGCATGCCAGCCGTTGCCCTACCCAGTTCCACTGCGCATGTGCATGTGTCTCCTGCCAGCTAGCTGGTCTTCAGGTCTCTGCCATGCATACACAGGGGGCGGGGTGCATGCGGGACAAGCACATGTGCATGTACTGGAGGTTCAGGTTGGTGCAGGTGGTTTTCTAGGCCCAAAATGGGGTGAGAGGGGGCCTTGCGTGGTGCCCCCATCTCCCGTTTTGGCTTCCAGGTTGGTGCAGGAGGCTTCCAGGCCCGAAACAGGGCACAGAGGGCCTCGCATAGCGCCCCATGCCCTGTTTTGGCTTCCAGGTTGGTGCAAGAGGCTTTCGCGGCCCAAAACAGGGCACGGGGGGGGGGGCCCTCGCGCGATGCCCTGTGTCCTGTTTTGGCTTCGAGGTTGTTGCAAGAGGCTTTCCAGGCCCAAAATGGGGTGCGGGGCCCACGCAAGGCCCCCCCGTGCCCTGTTTTGGGCCTGGAAAGCCTCTTGTACCAACCTGGAAGCCAAAACAGGGGATGGGGGCACCGCGCGAGACAATCATTTATCTGAAATGATATGGGGTCTCCTGCTTGAGCAGGGGGTTGGACTAGAATACCTCCAAGGTTTCTTTCAACTCTATTATTCTATATTCAGTATTGCAGATATACAGAGACTCTGACAAACAATTCAGGAGAATGTTGCAATACACACCCACTCCATAGGAAAAGCTCCAACCTATTTGAATATTTTTATAATAGTCATATCTGGCGAAATGGGCGGCATACAAGTTTAATAAATTAAAATAAATATTTAAATAAAAAGGAAAAAAATAAGAAAAAAAATTATCAGAACATCTGAATACTAACACTAACCCTATCAGATTAATTTCTTCATGGAGATAAACCACAAAAAAAACCAACTATAGGTAGTCCTCGACTTACAACAGTTCATTTAGTGACCAAAGTTACAATGGCACTGAAAAAAGTGACTTATGACCATTTTTCATACTTACAATTATTGTGGCATTCCAATGGTCATGTGATCAAAATTCAGATACTTAGCAACTGGTTCATATTTATGATGGTTGCAGTGTCCTGGGTCATGTGATCACCCTTTGTGACCTTTGGACAAGCAAAGTCAACAGGGAAGCCACATTGACTTATCAACTTTGTTACTAACTTAACAACTGCAGTGACTACCTTAACAAATGTGTCAAGGAAAGTCGTAAAATAGGGCAAAATTCACGTAACAAATATTTCACATAGAAACAGAAATTTTGGTTTCAATTGTGGTCATAAATCAAGGACTACCTGTACTTTTAACTGAGCTAGTCACTTAATCATTACTATTTTGAATAGCTTCTATTAACTTTCAGTCTATTTCCAAGATGATTTCAAGTGTTAATGTCTGCATTTAACACCATAATTATAATTAACAAAAATAACTTTGGCTGTAGACTTGACAGACGAATGTTAGATGCTACTTGAAGAGTTGCTAAGTAGTTTAGTAGCACTTTAAGTGTCAAATTTTTCATTTTATTTCAATGTAATTACATCAAGCTTATACATATCCTTGTTCATATAGAATTAACAATTCTAAGAAAGACTGTGTATATTGTCAATTGATTGCTTTTTATTATGAAGCTACCACCATTAAAGAACAAAACAATTTCTTTAAAGAACAAAACAATTAAGACTTAATACAATTTATGCCTATATACTTAAAGATAAAGAGGTAAAGATTAGAGAAATACAACTCATTCTTCCCATATATTATTACAGTGTATGGGCTACTACACACAAATGTGATAGCATTTAATTTTACAAATGTTTGCTATTGAAGAAAAATGTTTAAATATTGGGTGAATAGTGTCGTAGTCTAGTTAAAATTATGCCAGGCTGTCTGAGGAACATTTATCTGGATTTTTTAAGGAGGGCTAAACTGAGTTATTCTGCTATCCTGGGGAATCATATCAGATATCCAGTAATTTTAAAAGAGATTCAAAGAATGTCCTTGCCACTAAATATTGCAATTTAAGATTTTGGGGTGAAATGTATTAAATATGAACATCTATTTATTTTCCCAACATTTATATTTACAAAGCCTGGTAGAGGCATAATAAAGGGAGCATGATTCTGCATGAATCCTTTCAGCTGCTCATCTCCTTTTATGACTGCAAACAAGGAAATGCTCTTGTGGATAGGTCCTACTTTCATTTCATTCCCAGGACACCAAGCACTAACTAATAATTCATGAAAGCTGTTTTTACAAATATTGTTAACTTATCGTGTGGCATGTTTCATGTAAAAAATTCACAAAGAATCATCTCAATTTATATGCTACCTGAAAGCCTAAACTGCTGAGAAACTGCTATTTCTCAACCATACGATTTCATAGGAAGAAAAAAGATGACCTAGAAATTGCAAACCAAACTATATTCTAGCTTTTATCTTCATCTTTTTTTCCTTTAGTTTAACAAATCTCATTTGTAACTATGAATTCAAAACTGATGAATGACAATGGAAGTATAATAGAAAAAGTGCTTTTGCTAAAAAAAGATTCTAGTGTTAAATGTACTGAAGTAAATGATGACTCTAAAATGTTCCACAAAGATTACGTCTGTTTTTATTCTTATGAAGTTGGCATAAATATCATCAATTAATTACTATTATGTTTGTTATTTTTAGATGAAGTGTAATATAGAATTCTTTTTTTTTAAACAGCGATGCAATATCTCACACTAGTTAGTCAGGCCAAGCTGTCTGAGGAACATTTATCTAGGTCTTTAAGGAGGACTAAACTGTGTTTTACATTATTCACAAGATTACATAGGAAAACCTGGCTTAGTTATTAACAATAAATTCCTGCCTAATGATTAGACAGTACAGATATGCAAAGCATTTTGAACATGAATCTTCAATGCATAGAACTGGGCATCTGGATCTCTGTGTATTCCAGAAGGAACTGTTAAGGGAGAAACACTGGGAAAAAGCCAAGGTCATTAGCAGATGGTTAAGGACAGACAAAGAAATAAAAGTGCTAAAAAGTTTGGAGAGGAGATTGGTGAGCTGGTTGAATATGATCTGTTTAAAACAAAGGACACTGACAGTGGTAACTCACAGAGTGATATGAAGAAGGAAAGCATAAAGGAGGTTAGAAAGAGGTAAGGGTGATGTACTCCTAATCATTCCATAAGATACTTCCAGATATTATTTTTTTATCTGAAACCTGGAATAAATAGTGTGAGCTACTTAGAGCCATGTATGTAAGATGGGCAGCTATATAAATTGAACAAATAGATCAGTGGTTCTCAACCTGTGGGTCGGGACCCCTTTGGGGGTCGAACGACCCTTTCACAGGGGTTGCCTAAAACCATCGGAAAACACATATTTTCAGTGGTCTTAGGGATAATTTTATGGTTGGGGGTCACCACAACTTGAGGAACTGTATTAAAGGGTCACAGCATTAGGAAGGTTGAGACCCACTGAAATAGATGGATGGATGATGAATGAATCAATCAATATCTAGGTTTTGATTCTGCCAAACAGTAGTTCACATGAAATGGTTCAGCTGAACTTCCAAAACAATTCATTTCCCAGATCTAACAAAACCAATAATCTGTGGAAAATACTGTAGAACCTACCCCTATACAACTCCAAAATATGCTTTATTCATACAACGGGGAAAATCTAATTAAGAAATGTCTAGATCTGAAACTGAGATTTCATTTTCAAATATATTCTTACATATTTGAAAAATAAATAAATTGCGAGTCACCAGAAAATGTAAGCAGAAATACCCATTAGTTCAGAAAATGTAATGATAGCTCTATATGTGTCATGTAAAGGATTCAAACACAAATTGGTTGGTAAAGATTTCAACATGGCTAAGTTTCTTGAAAAAAGCAATGGGTTAAATGCTATATATTTTTAAAAGAAGTATTTCAATAAAACTTCAGAGCTGAAGAAGCTTCTTGGATGAGAAGCAAAATGTCTTCAAAGAGAAACCAGAAAGTTCAGTTGACTCTTGAAAAAAGCACCTTTGGGGACAGCCATGACCTGGATGACTGAGAATCTCCATAGATATTTAAATAAAATATGATGGTTTCTTAACAGTAACTAATACTGGTGGGGTAGGTGGGGGGGATGGAAGACAAAGGAAGTATTTTTCGTTTTTGCAATGGCACGTAACTAAAGGCATCTTTGTCCAAGCAGGAAGAAACTTAGCTTGCATAAATACAGCCTTTCTAAAGTTTTCTGATTTACCCATTCTGCTAGAGTTCCTCAGTGGCCTATCCTATTGGATCCTTTGATGTTTAGAGGTAAAGGAGTCAGGAAAGCCCTATTGTGTAAATGTACTTCTCTTCCCAGATTTTAAAAAAGCCTAATTATTTATATTCCATCTAACTACACAAGATTTTAAGAAATACAAATAGCATATGGTCAAAGTTACTCTTTATTCCCTTAATCATGTGAATATGAAGCTAACCAACGTAAATAGTTGGTTTGAGTAACAATCCGGGGTTAGGATCAAATTTAATAGGAATCTTTTCATTGTTGGTTCCTAATTAGTTTGGCCATGTATAAAAGGTAGAAGAAACTTGGAGAGCAATCAGCTTATGTGCACAAGCATACTACTTATATACAACAAGACAGAATTCTCAGCAAGCCTCATTTAACATTATATCTGAATGCAGTTAACTTCAAAGACAGCTTTAAACAAAACATATTGCACTAAATATGCTCTAGCCAGCTTAGATGCTACTAAAACATGGTGACAAGCATCATAGGCTACCATTATCCTCTCCCTCTCTCCCTCCAGCGTGACAACAGCATTATCTGACACCACCACTATACAAAACACATTTATTATTATACCCCCCCAAAAAAGCAGCATGTGAAAAATTGAGGATGGCTATGCTTCAAAAGAACAAAACTGAAATGTGCAGATATAGAAAAAAATAACTTTGTGAAAGAAAGTAGTTTTAAAATCTGAGTATTATGTGTTCAAAGGTTTGTACAGTGAAAATAAGCAACTCTAACTGAAGTACTATAATGAACAAAGCTGACACCTCATCCTACTTACCACCACGTGGTGGTTTATTCTTTGAGGTAAGGATCACAAAACCAAATCCTTCATTTTCCTTTCGTTGCAGTACTACATCATAAGCTTCTGGGAACTGTTTGTTGATTATCTCTTGTCGGTTAAGTCTAGGGGAACCACTCTGGGAGATGAAAGGAACTTCAGATGTTATTTCTTCTTCTGGTTGTTTATCAGCTAGGAACACCATAAACAGAAACAAGTTAGCAAAAACGTTGATCAAAGCAAATATATATTATTGATAATCTGTATGTGCAGAGCACTCAAAATTTAAAGAGAGATGTAACCCACAACACATATATTCAATTTTATTCAAAAGGAATTAACAAACATATGCAATACTAAGTTTAGCAACAGAAATAGCTTTTTCCAAACTGCTGCATACATTTTCAACGGAAGGATTACCAGCAGGTAATTTGAAAACTAGTTTCTAATCTGAGCACTCATTAAACATTTAGAGAAAAAAAATCCATAAAGTGTTCCTATTTTTAACACACACACGGTTTTCTCCCTATAGAGGTAAACTATTTTGTTGCAAATACATCTCCTTACAATGAAAAAGTCTTTCAGTTTTCTTCAAACACGTTCATTGGAATTTTCATATTGAATCCTACCATACTCATGGAAAATCTGTATCTCCTGTTGCAAAAATCTGGGTACAGATAGTCCTCGACTTACAACCATTCATTTAGAGACCATCTGAAGTTACAATAGCAGTGAAAAAAGTGACTAAATTTAGGCACTTGGTAACTAGCATGTATTTATGATGGCTGAAGTGTCCCAGGGTCATGTGATCACCTTTTGTGACCTTCTGACAAGCAAAGTCAATGGGGAAGCCAGATTTACTTAACAACCATGTTACTAACTTAACAACTGCAGTGATTCGCTTAACAATTCTGGCAAGAAAGGTTATAAAATACGACAAAACTCACTAACAACTCTCTTGCTTAGATATTGACATTCTGAACTCAATTGTGGTTGTAAGTAGAGAACTGCCTGTATTTGCATGGTAGATATAACAAACAAACAGTCTTTCCCTTAAACCCTTGGAGCATTAAGTTTCTATTTTGCCTGCATGGCTGGTTAGAATGTATGTTACAGTGTTTTTAACAATTATCCCATCTCCTCTGAGGCCACATTATTCTCCTCACAGAGAAGGAATTGGAGGATAATGACAATTAGTCAGCCATGTCAATATCCCACTATAGGGAGTCCTTGGTTAATGATCCCTCATTCAGTGATTGTTTAAAATTACGATAGAAGAAATGACCACACAGATCCTTTTAATAACTCAACTATTGGATAATAATAAAGAAAGAAATGACTCATATTTACAGATTACACAGTTTGATCCTGCATATTAAGGATTTTGAACAGTGACTAAGAACTTATCCCATGGTGGAAACCGTTTTTAAAATACAAGCTGTATTTTAAAATACAAGCTGTGGTTTACTGGGCTGTAGCAAGCCAACCCAGTAAATCACTAACCAGTTATATCAACCCTGAACTAAGTGAAGTAACTATTGAAGCATGGATATGTTTGTTTCTATGGGCATTTTTGAGTTAGTGGTCCATATTTAATTCAATGTGATCGTTTTTATATATGGATTATTTTTTGTGACAAATTATGATTCTCTTCTGTTATAATAGTTCAGGGCAGCTTATAAAAATACTATTAAGATTACTAGTAGAAACAGAAAGCAGAACTGATATTTAAAATCAAATCTGAATGTGCAAAATGGTTCATACATGAATTAACCCATGAAGAAAACAGCTGTTTTAGGGTAGTTTGTGCCTGAATTGAAATATATAGGTTCTCCTGGTGCACCAATTGCGACCCTACTTGGATCAGGAGGCTCTCCTCACAGTCACTCATGCCCTTGTCACCTCACGGTTAGATTATTGCAATGCGCTCTACATGGGGCTACCCTTGAAAAGTTGTTAGGAGACTACAGTTGGTCCAGAACGCAGCTGCGCGAGCTGTCGTGAGTGCACCTAGGTACACCCACATTACACCAATACTCCGCGAGCTGCACTGCTCCCTATTGGTCTCCGGTCACAATTCAAGGTGTTGGTTATGACCTTTAAAGCCCGACATGGCTCAGGGCCAGGTTATCTTCGAGACCACCTTCTACTGCATAGCTCCCAGTGACTGGTAAGATCCCACAGAGTTGGTCTCCTCTGGGTCCCGTCAGCTAAACAGTGCCAGCTGGCGGACCCACGGGGGAGGGCCTTCTCTGTGGCCGCCCCAGCTTTCTGAAACCAGTTACCTCCTGAGATCCGGACCATCCCCACCCTATTGGCCTTCCGAAAAGCGGTGAAGACCTGGCTTTTCCGGCAGGCCTGGGGCTGTTGATCTCGCTGTTACGATCTAGCGAGATCCGGCCATGAATGGTGTGAATGGGTTTTAATTGCTTTTAATGTTTTAATTTTTAATATTTTTATATATGATTTTTAAATGCATTCTAAGCCGCCTTGGGTCTTTGGAGAAAGGCGGCATACAAGTTGAATGAATGAATGAATGAATAAATAAATAAATAAATTTGGACTGGCTGTAAAACAACAAAATGGTGCCATTTTCCTCGGATACAGATTGAAATGTAGAAGTATTCCGGGCAAAACTGTTTTGGTGGGAGGAGGAAGAATGTGAAAGAATCCCGAGGAGTCACATGATTGCAATTTGGATGATCAGCAACCAGCACGCAGTTACAACATTGTAACATGGCACATTAGCATGGATTGTCAGAAGGTTTTTGTTGTTTTTTTATGCTTTTAAGTGGTGGTATTTTATAGTTTTAAAAATGATTTTATATGACTTAATCTTTGATTAGAAGCTGTCCAGATTTGGCTGAAAGATGGGCAGCTACATAAATGTTTTAAACAAACAAACAAACAAACAAACAAATCTACCTTCACTGAGGCTTCTACCAAGCAAAATCAGTGGAGAAGTCACTTTTGTACTTTTAACCCCAGTTTGTATCACATTATGCCTGGTCTAGAAAGCAATCAGTATACTTTGGAGTGTCTCTATCCCTCACTTTTTGATTGTCTTTCAGAGTCATCACATGAAGAGCCTATATTAAAATACACTGCTCAAAAAAATAAAGGGAACACAAGCAGAAGACATCCGAAATCTGAATGAATGAATAGCCTTATTAAATACTTTGTTCGTTACATACAGTAGTTTTGTGTTCCCTTTAGTTGTTTAAGCAGTGTATAAACTACTGTATGTAAAGAACAAAGTATTTAATAAGATCATTCAGATCTCGGATGTCTTCTGCTTGTGTTCCCTTTATTTTTTTGAGCAGTATACATTTCAAGTTACTAATACATGTGTCATCAAAGACAATGTCTCTCCTTCAGGTAGCTAAAACAGATAAAAACCCTCCTTGAAATAGATGTTACAAAGCTATCTAGCATCAATGCTAGATCCAGGATAACCCTCAAAACTGGAAACTTGATCATTAAGGAGAACTACAACCCTACATGGAACAGGTTTATGCAAGGGTGAGTTCTAAACATTTTTACTACTGGTTCTGTGGGCATGGCTTATTTTGTGGACGTGGCTTGTGGGGGGGGGGGTGTTAATGTGACTGGGTAGGCGTGGCCAACTTTTTTTTTAAAAAAACTTTTAATAGCATTTTTTCTACAACCTTAAGAGGTTGCAGAAAAAAATGCTTTTAGAAGCCTCTGATGATCAGGCAAGTCAGCTGGGATCGCCAGATACTCTTAAAGGCATTTTTTTGCAGAAAAAAATGCTTTTAAAAGAAAAAAAAAGCCTCTGATGAGGTGAGCGGGGTAAGCGAGCGGCAACTGGGCCAGGGACCGGTTCGGGGGCATGGCCAGCCAATGTTATTACCAGTTCTCCGAACTACTAACAAATTTTACTACTGGTTCTTGTGAACCGGTGCGAACCGGGAGCAACCCACCATTGGGTTTATGTTCCCAATCCTAAAAATCAACACTGGATGATTTTTAAGTAATAATGCAGGTACTTTATGCCACCATGTCACGAAACATCTTTTTTGAAAGTTGTATAGTGACCATGTGTATTGTCATTTTATAAAATCACCTCTCATTTTTGTTTTCATTCAACCCATTTAATGCTGTTGCTCATATGAACAGACAAAAGTAATGATTCTATAATTCCAGTTATCTTGTAGGAGACATTGACAGCATAGAAATTTGATAGATAGATGGATGGATGGATGGATATCTATACAGACAGACAGGAATATGGAACTACACGTTTGCGTTAAACTTGCCATGATACAAAATAGTACCAAGTGCAACAGTATAGTCTTAATTAATAAGACATGACACATACCACCAAAGTAGATTTTCCTGCGAACAGTCAATAGCACCTGTCCATTTCGTGCAGCACTTGTCATTAAATCCAGAACTTGCTTATGTGATTTCCCTTTCACTGGGATTCCATCAATGCATACAAGCTCATCAGCAGCACGAAGTCTACCATCTTTCTCTGCTGCTCCCAGTGGGATGATTGCTCCAATATAGATCTAGAGAAATATGGGATAATTATAGACTCTAACACAAAATAAAGAAAACATTTCTAACTGTGATTTGTTTGTAAACAGATGACATCAGTAAATACAATATACTGTATAGACTGTCATTTAAGTTGAATTTAAAATGTGATAATGATCTGTGAAAAAAACCACATCGCTTAGTGATGACAATTCCAGTCCCAATAGCTGTTGTAATTCAAAGACTAACTGTACTATCAACTACCACTACAGTTGAAATGCTATTAGTAATACAAATTGGTAGTTTAAATCCTACTATAGTACCTCATCATGGTGGGGATTGTTCCCGAGAAGAATGACCTAATGCCAAGAGTGTACGCCAAGAGTAAGTATCCCCAGAAGGTCATCCCAGCTGCCCAGTTAAAGAATATATTAGGCAACAGAAATATTGGTACATATTAGAGGCACACTATCACTTTACTGACAATCTCAGTCATTATTACATACTGTGTGGGAGAAGGCAATCTGAAAGCATTCTTGTATTTTATAAAGAAAGCCACACAGATAGACAAGATAAAGAGGCTGACAATATAATGTTGGAGAAGACTGGATGTCATTCAACATGCTATTGAGAAAAAGAGAGGATCTCTTGGAGTATAAATAGTGTTTATGATGCAGCTAGATTAAAGCCTTCAGGATATCTAGCTGCTGATGTTCCATTCAGAAAAAAGAAAATTCTTAAGCTGCAAAGGCAAAATCATAATGGAAACATGGAGCATTATTTGAAGTATCATCTGAAAAGTCAGGTTGTGGGCAGTCTTTTCTGGAGAAGTCCTATCTATGATATTTCTAAGATAGACATTGATGTTGGCCCATAATCAATCAATTCAAATATAAAGTAATAAATATTTGACTTACTGACTGATCTGGACCATCTCCTCCAAGAACTCGGAAACCAAACCCAGATTCTTGCTTTCGAAGGAAAACATCTAAATCCTTTGTGTTTGGAGCTAGTAAAAATGGATGGGAGAGATAAGTGTTAACAAGGGAGAACTATGTTTGGCCATTTAAAAACAGTATACACAAAAATTAAAATTAAATCATGTTATTCATTTAGAAGCAAATTACTTTCTAAAGATATTGTACATAACATGGTTAACACACCTGCAAAATTAAATCATGAGTTAGAATGATTAACACTCCATCTGCAAAGCACAAACGTTTGGCAAAATCTGCCGGTTTGAACACGTAGGATTTTTTAAATAAACAAGACCTTTTTTGGTCTTTATAGTAATTCAGTTCTAGAAGTTTCAAACTACCAATACATAGTATGTTAGATTCATATAAAAATCAAACAGAATCTAATATAATATTTGTACAGGTAACCCTTGACTTACAATCACAACTGGACCTTGATTGGCATCATAAGTCAATGCAGTCATAAAATGAGATGTCATGTGACCACACTGACTTAGATGGCAAGGACACTTCACTGTGGTCATTAATCAAGAATAGTGGGTCATTAAGTAAGTATTCATAATACATTTTTGTTGTACTTCTTTCACTATTTGTTGAAGTTTTTTACATAATCTTTTCTTTCTTCTCTTTGGCAATGTACAGTATGTATCTTCATTAATATTACTTCTGTGTTTTGCTTCTTTTTTAATTAAATAAAAAAGTACCAATAAGTACCAATCCAATCCAAGTCCTTCCAGGCTTGTTCTCTCCCAGCTCTGAGCCTCAGTAAGGTGTTTTCCTGCAACTTCCCACACCTACCTATTTCCCCCTCATCTGTGCCCTTTGGCTATCACTCTGCCTTTCAGGGAGGCAAACAGCCCCAGAAAAGGCTCCATGTGGCTCTAGGGCTGCTTGCCCCTTCCCGGGAAGCCTTAGCTGTTCCACACCACCCCAGCAACTGTCAACAAGCATTCATTTGCCCAGCTGTTTCCTCCTCCAATTCTCCGCACCAACCTTTCACCTTTTGTGCCTAGACGCTGTGGCCGAAACAGAAACATCTCACTGCCTTTGCGCTTTTCTTTTTGGATCTGTGACTGCTATGCGACCCCAGTTTTCCAACTTTTCCGGGTTCCTTCAACATGGCTCCTCAGCCCACTGCAGCAGTTTGGTGCCACCCCATGAAACCCCCAGCAAGCATTCAATCACCCAGCTGCTTTCTCTCTCAGGTGACCACACTGATCTTTTGCACACAGCCACCTTAGGTAAAGCAGAAGCAACTTTGCTGCCTTTTTGGACCCAGCTTCTCTTCCAAATGTTTTCTACATGTGACTTTCTGAGCCTTTGAAATGCTGTGCTTCATAACATAGTCCTGCCTTCAGAAAGCTACACTGTCTTTAAGATGCTTTTCAAAGACAAAACAGCTTTCTGAAGACAGTGCAGCTTTACGAAGAAAATCTTCAGAATGATAGCACAGCTTTACAAAGGCAACATAGCTTTATGAAGACAGTGCAACACTGAAAGGCTCAGAGAACCCCAAGTAGGAAATATATAAATATGAAGATAGCAAAGGCAACAAGGTGCTTCTGATTCAGGTGCTGGGAACAAAAGGTGAAAGGTCATTATATTTAATTCCTTTACAGTATGTTCTCAACAACAAGAACCACCACAACTGGTACTTATTTATCTGACATATTCTGTCCCACCAACTACATGGACCCTAAAAACATAATTTATTATTTGATGTTCCTAGGCAGCACAGTATAGGTAGTTCCAATTTAGTATCCACTATTGGAACCAGCAGTATCCTTTGCTCTATCCTTAAGCAAAGTGATTATTAAGTGCAAAATCATGTGACCATGACTGTATTTTCCTTTTCCCCCTTCTCCCACCTTTGGAATGCTCATCTGACACTGGGATAATTAGGCAAGGGAATTAATGTTTGTATTTATAGTCACTGGAGATGAAGGCATTACAAGAGAGTAAGCAGGCTAGGGAAAGTGGGAGGAGAACAACAATATGTCAGGCACCAGACAAAATGTACTGACTGTAATGGCAATTACATGATTGAGGGATAATGTGACTATCGTAAATGCAGCATTAGTTTTAAGGTTCTTTTTCAGGACTCTCGGAATGTCGAATGGTTGCTGGAGGAGTCAGCTGATAAGCAACGACTACTTAAACTAACTACTATTTTGCCCTACCTAAGAGGGGTAGGGGGGATGAGGACTTAAAAAGCAAAAGAAAGCAAATTGTCTCCTTTCTTGGAAGGATCCCATCCTAAGAAAAAATGATTTCAGGGCAGGGAAGTATTAAACATGAATGATTGAATAAATAAATCCTAAACCTAACAAAATTTAGAAGACTATCTTCACTGAAAATGTTTTTTTGTCAGTTGAATCATTTCATCTGAATAATCTACAATTTGAAGCCTTTGTAGACAATACACTGAAGATGTCCAACACTTTGAAGATAGTTTCAAAGCAATCACTTTCATCACAATAGATTTCAAAAGTTTAAAGCAATTTACTCTGACTGACTGCTATGTTACAGCTGGGAAATATGAATGCTGTAGATTAGTAAAATTAGTAAAAAGACACCTCTTTTAGGGATGAAACTGACAATGCAGAAATCAAAGTGTTTCCTTAAAAAAAAGAAAAACAAAACAAAACCCTGGAGCAGCAAGTAACTCAAGTTTATGTACTCACGTTTATCTTCAAATAATATTTTAGATTTCAGATAAACTTCAGAAGGGTCAAGCTTTGGAGAAGACGACTTCACAGAAGTAGATGGAAAAGTCATTGGATGTGGAACAGGCTCACCAATGGCCTCTAAGCTTCCTGAATTTTCCTGCTTATTTATTTTCTGAAATAAATAAGATTCATATAAAATAGATTGCAAAAATGAATATTAACTGTCCTAAACAAGTAAACAGAAAGATGAGCAAAACGTTCTTCAATAAAAACTTTGTTTTTTAATGAGATTGAAACATCTCCTGAATTTCTCCTGAAATGTTTTGTGTTTTCTTATATTCTTCAATGAAACTTTTAATATGAATAATTAATTCATCCAATCTAACAATAGCAACATTGTGGCAGGATATGATGAAATATATTTCTGAGAAGATATCTCAATCTCTCATGTCATAAACTCCCAACAGATTTGTTTACGAAAAATGTAATTATACACAGATGAATTATTTCCATATAGTATACATCTACTGTAATCAGATAACAGGATATACAAATGTATAGAATCCATAATTATGCACAAGCGAAGGGGGAGAAATTCTACACTAGGTTTATGTTGACTTATCAAAATATTTCCATGCTCTTATTTTGGTATTTTATATAACTTCTCTCTATTCCAGGCATCTGATGCAATGTAATGGAGGTTGTATGCAAGCAAGAATATGAAAGGAGGTTGCAATCGGTCAGGATCAGGTGTTCATTCTAACCAATCATTTAATCCAGAATTAAAGTCAGGGGAAAGTATTGACTCAATGTGCATTTTAGAGCTTTAGCTGGGAGAAAGGGCATGGGATAGAGTAGACAGTATTCTGGCCCCTAAGTTGGCCAGCTCTGATGACTAGGTTGCAACAGGCTATGACTGTTGTAAGTAAGGAGGTGGAAGGATACAGCTGAAAATTTGCCAGCTTTGACTATATAGAACGAGACCTGAATAGTCTTCATACTAAAAGGATATTTTTAGTGTACTCTTCATTCCACTATATAAGGTCTCTCTCTTTCTAAGATTATCTCAAGCATTGTACTGAATTACCCTAAAATTCGTGTCCTGAGATTTAGGAGAACCTTAGTATTTCATGTCTTCACAAAAGACCACAGAAGTGTCTCAACTAGTACTTAACTTTATGTACATACAGCAGGGCCCCTGCCCGAGTTCGTATTCATTTTGGATGCAACTATAAGCTAAAAGTGGAAGAGCATTATCTAATTCCAACGTCCTAGACCAGCTTTTCACAGCCTTTTCAGCCTGGAGGAACCTTTGAATATTTTTCCAGCCTTGGATAACCCTTGCACATACAGGCTCAAATATAGACCAGAAGTGCAAATTTTTTTTATTCATTTTACGGGTAGGCCCACATATATGCATTAACAATGTTCTTAAACTAAAAGTAAAGAATGATTTTTTTCCCCTTTCCCCCATCTTCTTCCCCTGTCTTTTGGGTGGATTCTGCTTCACTGGTGACTACATCAGCTCAGTCCCAGATCTGCTGTGCCCATCCTGAGACAGAACACACACACCTTGACCACTGAACCTACAGAAAGACAGGCTGAAAACTGGCAAGGAGAGCCCCAGCACAGGCACTCTCGCATGTGCACACTCTCTGATATTCTTCCTCAGCTTGGCTCGGCTCACTTCTCGGTTTCAGCTTTGCTTACCTCTCCGCTTGCATGCTTTTGTGCAAACTTTGCCTCCACCTGAGGTCAACACACACTCTAGTGGGCCAACCCAGGATTTGGAGTTGGGGTTTTGCTCAGTCTCTGCTTTTAAAAAATAAATCATGATCTCCCAGGGAGCCTCTAGTGACCTCTCGCAGAATCCTAGGGCTAAGAAACCTCTAATTGAGAAACACTATCCTAGATAAATAACAGTGAGTTGTGAGTTTTAGTCTGGTGACTAGCGCTAATCACTAACACTGGCAGATGACTAGTTTAAATGGTAAGATCCAGGAAATGGATGGCTCTGGGTCATTTGGTTTGTCTTCTTGCTCGTAAGTTGAAATCTTAGTTGATCTGTGCAATACAGAAATCACCATAATATATCTTGTTTTCTTAGAGCCTTCTTGAAGATGTGGACAAGGTTAGTCAAAGACTGCCCTTTTTGGCTTGTGAACTAACCTGAATAGTACTTGTCTAGGGCAAAGGACGATAACCGGTGCCTCTTTACAAGTGAGATGTACTTGCTACAACCCGTCTAGACAAGGTATCTATCTGTCTCTCCCTCTCCCTCCCCCTCCCACCCTCTCCCTCTCCGGAGGCAAAAAACGGGCCGGTTTTTGGCCTCCCGAGGCCTCCACATGTCCCGTTTTTGGCCTCCTCGGCCTCCAGTACCTCTCTGCCGCCCCAAAATGGACACATTTTTGGCCTCCAAAGGCCACTGCGCATCCCATTTTTGGCTTCCCCGGCCTTCAGAAGGTGGGTGGGACCGATGTGGGCAAGACATTCTCATGGTCCTGCGTGGGCCGGATTAATGGCTTCGACGGGTGGTATCTGGCCTACGGGCCTATAGTTTGAGGACCCCTGAGCTAATATATCCTGTTGGCTTCTATCTTTTCCTCCATAACATTCAACATTTATATGAAAACACAGCCTGTGTATGTATGTTATCTAATGATTTGGAGCCTCATTATTACAGGAATGATACCCCCTCTAATTGCTCCCTACAATTAAGCCTGGATTAGAATTCTTTATTATTCCACCTCAGAGAACATATGTGTCTGTCATTTAGAGATGGTTGCATAGCTGTTGTATTTTTAGGTCTGCTAATGTTAATGTTCTGGCTATGAGGCATTCAAACTGCTGGCCTTCCAACAGGAAATCAGATCAATCATTCAGCATGCAGAACATGCACCTCCACACAACATGCAGTTGGGATTTGGGATATGTACACATCTGCAGGGATGTATATCTGTCTGCAGACATCTGTATATTATACTTATCCACCAATCCCTTTGCAGTATAAGTATGTAGTAACACCTATACATGGGTGGCTAAATCAAGCTTTAAATTTTAAACTCTAGGAAGGCAACCAGTACTATTAAATGTTACCAAAAATTGACAATGGGCTGAATGAGGAAGAACACATTAAAATAAAATGAAAACATGTTATGTAGCACCTTCGTTATATAGTACCTATACTGGGTAACTGAGATTTAGGCTGCTATGTTGGACAGGCTGAACTTCCTCTGAAAGATTAAGTATGCTATATGGGAATATTCCTTGCTTTTCAGCAATTACCAGATTTGCACATGACAGCTGAGATAAAAAGTGCCTTTGTACCACTATAACTAAAATATCAACTATAGCCCTTCTTAAGCTTGTTAAATTTGGCAAGTATTCAAGCGTAGGTTATATATTTACATGTAGTCTTGACTACTGCAAAAGACTTACCATAGCTCTGTCTTGAAAGTGGAACTTTCAATTGACACAGTGTATAACATCTTGGCTGATATTCAGTGCAATGTACAATGTGATGATCATGTTATCATTGATTTAATAATTTAATATTTTTAATATTAAGCTTTAAAGTGTCAGAACTCCCTCCTACTCTTCCTGGACAAGTTGGTAGATGCAGCACAGCAAAGAGGAAAGTTTGAAATATTAATGGCTGGCAACTGCCTAGCTGGATTGCTATCAGAATTTATTCCCACACTGCCTGGTCAAATGAGCATTCCCAAGTAAAACAGGAATGTGATTTGATTGCTTACACCTGGAAATCTGAACTGCTGGAAGTACTGCTCTGTCTGGAGCACCAAGCAGCTGACTTGTCCAAAACCTGGAATGAGTTTGGATTCCAGGTTTGCATGTAGAAACCTCATGGCATGTTCACTCAAAGTCACAAATCACTTTCAAAATTTCTTCCTGCTGTGTTTGGAGAACCTGACAACGAAGTCAGGTTTTTCTGTAACTGCTGCTATATAAAGAACAACACAAGCTAATTTTTCTCATCTAAAAATGTGCTTTTCAGTTTGATTTCTTTACAAACTAAAAAACTTTATAAAAATATTGTCACTGAAATTACAAGCTTTTGTGCCTTTATTTCATACACAAATTAAACTTTAATTATTAAATGTAATTAGAATAATTCTTTGTTGCCTAGTCTTAGTTTTAATATAATTGTTAGTTTAATTGATGGAAGTGGTTTCAAACAAATTTATTTATCATTTAGGGCAGAGTTTCCCAAACATTTTCGGCTTTACAGACTGGTGGGTGAGGGGTGAAGAGGGGAGGGTTCTGTGCGCATGGAGGTCAAGCCTGCGCATGCACAACTCTATTTGTGCCAGCTGCTCATTCAAATGGAGCATGTGCGCATGCACTTGCCTGCTACTTGTGCAAGTAGGGATGTGCACGCTCATGTGCTCACCTAGCACTTCTGCAGCCTGATAACTAAAGGCTCAAGGCCTGGTAGTAGGCTCCCCAGGGATTGGGGACCCTTGATTTAGGGGGATGCAGCATCAAATAGTTTGAGACTTAAATAAAAGAACTCATGCTGGAAAAACAGGGTTTTTCATTATATAGCTATCTTAGAATGCAAATTCATATTTTAATAGTGCATCCAGAAAAAAAAAAAAGAATAACAGTATTTTGTGTTTATCTTCCTCACACCTTAGTCCCATGACTGATAACTAATCTTGAGAACAAATGTTTTGACCACAATTCAGCTACCTTAAGCTTTGTTCCTTTATGACACAGCTTTCTTGAAACATGCTTCCTGACATGCACCCTCTAGTTCATTCTTGTGTTGTACTTTTTTCATTTCTCTTACCAAAGAACATTATGAGAACAAAGAGTCATTATTTTCATAGTTTGTAGAAAAGCATTTCATTCATTACAACTAATCAGTTCAGATTTTCCTTTAATGTGATGCCTTTTAATATTAATAGCAATAGCAATAGCACTTAGACTTATATACCTCTTCACATGGATTTACAGTCCTCTCTAAGAGGTTTACAAAGCCAGCATATTGCCCCCACCAATCTGGATCCTTATTTTATCAACCTTTGAAGGATGGAAGGCTGAATCAACCTTGAGCAAGTGAGGATCGAACCCCTGGCAGTCAGCAGAATTAGACTGCAATTTTGCATTCCAACCACTGCGCTACCATGCCTCTTAATAAAATTTATTGTCAATACAGTCAATAAATAAAACTTCTGCTCATAACCTTGACCTCAGAAGATGAACAAATGAAGAACAAAGTTTTGCAAATCAGTTAAAAAGACTGAATATTAAGGGATTACTTTAAAGTAGAAAATGTTACTTCATCTAAAACTGAGCAAACCCAGTAGTAAATTTGTAATTATTGAATAAATATTTACAATAGTTTTACACCACGAAATGTGGAAGTCAGAGTTGTTTTTCTTTAACATCCTCCCATAACTGGCATAACGATTAAAACAATATATGTTTAGAAAAAAATGTCAAGAAAGTCCTAATAAAATGATTCAACAAAACCTTCTACAAATTTTTCCACAGATAGGGATATACAAGTTGCAAAAACTTTTATTAATACTCACATTATCAATACTGGGAGTTTTTGTAGGTGAGGGAGGTCCTAAAACAAAAAATAAATATTAATATAATCAATCAAAATATTCATGTTCTATGTTTTAAGGCTATGCAGTGATTCAGAAGGATAGAGCACCTTCGGAGCACATGTGAGCTTTCAATAAGTCACCATATTTTTAAAACAGTGGCTTTTTTTCCAGGATCATGCCAATAATTGCTACATCTGTACCCATATACACACAGAAGGATCTTTTTCTTCACATCCATAGCACTACACAAAGCTATCCTGAATATTATAACGAAAGAGTTAGACCTTTATAATCTGATAGTCTTGGCTAGCTATCAACATATTCACTTGGCAGTTTATCAAGAATTCAAGTTTCTTGGAAACAAGAACCAAAAATATATTTACTGCAAATATTACATCCAAAGTTTTTCAACTGGTAAGCAACAATAATAGTCCTTTCAAGCAATGAGAAGGACCTCTGTTTCTTACTAAACATTATACATGCACAATCCTTTTTCCCACATAACCTTTGCACATCACACAACAAATGGGAGGGAACTAATGTAAACATAATGACTAAGTCAAACCAGTATTTAAAAACTTCTCTTTATTTTCAATGCCACAATCTGAAAAGGGAATTTCAATGATAGATTATGTGCCTTGAAAAGGTTTTGGTGAATAAATATTAAATAAGTTATCTGCCCTTGTACATTCAGTCATGTATAATATGTTCTGAGGCTGCTTTTAATATATATATATATTATAATCATAAAAATATGTGCTAATTATTCTATTATGAAAAACCGTCATTGTGACTAAATTAAAAGGATTTATGAATTGTCCACCAATCTCAGTACCAAGCTAAAATTCTAAGCAAGGGGACTCACCTGGCAATGTAGATTTCCCTCATAAATCTGTGATAACATGTCTTAATGGCACTTGAAGGGACAGCAATTTTTACACACATATATGCAATATTCCCGTGCAAAAAATTTTTTTAAAAACCCAACCTAAATCAAATCAAACCCATTTCAAAGCCCCCCCCCATTCCAATATTTAAAATATTACTTTTAATTTTAAGATGCCATAGGCACTATTTTGTATTGGCCCATTACCATTCTACCAATTTCCTAAATATTTAAAGATGAATTTATCTGCATCAAGAGATTGTTTGCAATTAATGGCAAACTTCCATATTTTCCCAAGGACAATGAAAAGAATCAGTTTATCACCAACATAAAAATATCAATAACATGGCATTTTCCAATTCATTGTTATATTTTAATTAGATCAATAGATCATAAATGGGGAGTATAACAGCTACTGTACTACATTACATTAGAAGTTCACAGTTTTAGTACAAATAGAATGCTCAATGATAACTAATAACCAAAATGTATTTTAAAAAATGCATGAAAGTGACTTATTGAATAAAAAGCAAACACTTTCTACCATTACACTTCTACATTATCCTCAACAACATATAGACTCAGCAATGTTTGGCAGTAGATTTGTACAATTTAGCCATGTCAGCAATAATCAATTTGTATTGAATGAACTTTGCTAACAGTATGTACTGCCATTTCAAAATACAATTAGCACAAATATAATTGTATGTAACTCTATGTAATAAAGTCAATATTAATATCAAGACCACAAAGGAAAACAAGCTTATATGATATTTTACATTGGTTAACTGACCCTTACTGACATGAGATTAAGAAGTCAAAATAACAATAAAAAGCCATATATATAAAAAGACAGTGGACTAAGACAAACGAAAAGACAATCAACAAACTACAAGTGAGGTCTTTACATGGCACCACTCAGGTATACAACTTTTACATATTTATGTTCCTATGAAAATCTTTCCAATCAGATATAAATGGAAAAGAATTTTGCCTTTGGAGAAATGTATAGTTACTTGACCTTTAGAAACACTCACTGCATCTTCTGAGAGATTTATAGAAAAGATGCTTTTTACATTCTTTCTTTTACCATGGATGTAGAAATACAAACTTAAGAGTAGCAATATGGGCAACCACAGTAAGATCATATGTGCATTTTGTCATAATTCCAAAATGTCACAAATACATATTTGCATCAGATGTCCTGATGCCAAAAAAAGCAATCACAGAATTTGCATGATTCTATCACTGTGCATATGCCATCATTCTGGCACCATTGCACTTTCTTGTCAATGGCACTAGATAGAAGTACTACATTGTGTTTGAAAGCAACACAGGCATTTTAAGTTATAGCAAATTCATTTACATACCTCCTCTTAGGATAAGCAGTGGCACCTCTGCTCCAACTGGGAACTGCTTCAGAACTTCTACTACCTGGATGTGTGTTAAATTCTGTACATTCTGATGATAAATCTCTTTAATTACATCCCCTTTCTGAAGTCCATGACACCACTGGCTGTCTAAAATCATCTTCACCTTTTGTCCTGCAGGGCTATCAGCTATTGCAAATCCAAAACCTTTAGGTCCCTTGATCAGAGGAATTGTGACCATTTCTGTTTGAGAACATCCTGAAGAAGACCCTGTAGCCCTTTCTTCTCCAAAGTCTATTGCTGAAGGACCGTTCAGGCGTCCATTGACTAATATATGTCCAGTTTTACTATTGTGATCCAAAACCACTGTTCCTGGGATTAAATCCTGACTGAGTATACAGGTATCTCCTTTTGTAACTGGCTGGCCATTTAAGACAGGAGTGGCTGTAACAATATCTACAACAGGATCTTCACTTTCATCAGGCAGAGGATATCCACGACACAACGTCATATTCACATACTGATTGACGGGAACTAATTGAAACATCTGGACAACATCAGCATGGGTATGGCCAAGGACACATGTACCATTTATATCTACAATGACATCACCTATTAAAAATGAATAAAGTATTAACACAAATATATTTACATATATTAAAATAATCTTAGTAACCTCATTTTGGAGCATTATTAACATTTATTTATTTATTTATTTAAAACATTTATATAGCCACCCATCTTACAACAAACTTTGGGCATCTCCCAATCAAAATTCAGAACAATAATGATCAGATATTGCATCTGATCTGCATCTACCATTTTCCCTGAATTTTGCCTTGAACTTAATTTGTATTTAAGAACTGACATCTAAATACTCATTTTCATTGGATTTGGAGATTGTTTATGTACTCCCTAAGTGAAAAACAGAATGTTAGGATAAGACTCATGCACTAATGTATTGAAGTCTAAATTATATATTTTTTATTCAATTATATTGCTAGACTGTACAACCCATGACCCCCTGGGTCATCATTTCAGAGATATTTTTAACTAGATTCCTCAAAGCCTTCAATAATGGCAGAACTTTTAATGTACTTGAAAAGTTCTTAAAACTTTTCAGGAAGTGTTTTCTGACATTTTGTATGCTCTCATAAAATGTCTTATGATCATTTTTATATAATAAAATGTTCTATAAAATTAGCCAAATTTCAATTCCATAGGTATCATGGCTCTCAGATTTTCGATGTATTCTGTAAGTAAGCCCATTTGAAGTACTTTGATTGAAAAATTGTTGCCCTATGATGCACCTAGATCTCTGCTAAATGGTATGCAACAGGCTTTAACGCTTTCTACACTCCTATTTAACACGTACATAAAGACACAGGGTAAGGTCATCTGTCGCATTATCTAGATGCTCTATGAGAAGCCTTAACGTTTGCATTTTGTATTTATAATAGTTGTTCTTTCATTGTATTTCTGTATTTCTATATTGCTAGCTGCCCAGAGCTATGAGCTTAAGAAGGGCGGTCCATAGAAATTTTAGTAATAAATAAATGAATTTTAATTGGGAAAGAAAAAATGAATTGTTCCTGAATATCTAAAATACCAAACTCTTTTGTGATCCAACTACACTATAAATTGTAAAACCTCATTTACCTGATGAAATTTTGCCATCTTGTGCAGCAGGTCCATCCTTTAACACATTCTTCACCTGTAGAAATTCATCTGGTCTGTCTCCGCCAATTATTGTGAATCCAAATCCCATAGTACTTTTCTTCAGTGATGTTCGTATTAGTGTCCCTATCAACTGTGATGGATCTCGAGTAAAGAAAGGTTTTGCTTGTTCTGCACACAAAGAAAATGCTTTTAGGCATGTCTATTCAAAAACTGGAGTGCAGAATAAGGCAATTCATATTGTAGTGATAAACTATTTTGAAATGTCAGATAAAAACTTTCTGGATGCACAGACTAGCATTATAAAACATGGGTAGGTTTATATTATTCTGTTCTGTTAAATAATTCTTTATAAACACCCAATGCTGGGCCATATCAAAGTCTTCCTTCCATCCATCCATCCATCCACCCACCCATCCATCCATCCATCCATTTTCATCATTAAAAGTATTATGTTCTCGCTTCTTTCACAGAGAGAAGAACTTTAAAGATACTTAGCTGGGATGTTTTGCTTATCTTATTAACTATAAAAAAAATCTAAAAACTTTTTTTTATTACATATATTCTGCCATTTTTTAAAATACTACTGTACTACTTAGGATGAAAAAGTATTTATGTTATTAAGTTGGCATAGAAAACAATATTTTAAAATCATAAAAATATAAATGTCAGGAATTATTTCAGATTCATGTTTATAACAGTACAAATATTAGCTAACTATTTACAGAAATCTAGCATAAAGAGACATGGTGATTATGATGACTGAATATATTCTTAAGAAATATATTTCAGGTTTTAACAGTAGCCACTGAAAACTGCACCTGGATTTGACAAGCCTCCATCAGTCTGTCCTAGCTGTTTTTTCCGTTTGGCTTCCAAAACTGGGTTTTCAAATTGAGTTTTCTGGTTGATGTGACTGCAAAATACACAACATGGTAGTGCAAATGGAATTACAAAATATTTACAGAAAAAGGTCCTTTTTTTCTGCATTATTGGATATTGCTGTCCATTCTTTCAACTTTCCAAGAGGCAGAGGTTCTTACCAAAAATCCAGCAGAACTTCATTTCAGTAATTGCTAAGCTTCCAACACTTTAATACTTAATCCGAAAAACCCAGGCTGTTTTTCAAAATCTAATAGCATACTTTCATTTGAATACAAAGAATCAAATCAGAAGGGCCTGGTAGCTCAGCAGACTAAAAGCATTGTGATTAACACCAGCTGTCTGAAATTACTGTAAGTTCGAATCTCACCAGGCTCAAGGTTGACTCAGCCTTCCATCCTTTCTAAGGTAGGTAAAATGAGGACCCAGTTTGTGGGGGCAATAAGCTGACTTTGTATAAATATGCAAAAGTATGAAGGCTACTGCTTAACACATTGTAAGCTGTCCTGAGTTTCCAGATAAGGGCGGCATATAAATCAAATAAAAAAAAATGAATCAAATGAATACAAAGAATCAGATTGTTTCTAATTATCAACTGAGATTTGAATTCAAACAAATGAATGAATTTAGGACAAGATCTAAATTCAACCTTAGTTTAGGAAGAGGGAGAAATTACAAGTGCTGCCTATTGTTTAATATGTTGATAAAGACAATAAAAGGTCATGAGAATAATTATCTGATAAATCAGTTGTAAAGACTGGGTCTTAAATCATTATTTTTTATATGGGGGATAAGAAAACTATTTGGATCAAGTTTAATTTAAAAAGCAAGAAATATATATTTTTTTTAGTCTATCACACTTTTGGGTGGGCCTACAAACAATAATCAAGAACATAGATTTAAAAGAACAAAATTTTTGTTACAGTTATCAGTCAACAATTTTGTTATTTCTAAATTACTTAGTTATCTTGCTGTATCTATTTTGGTGATTCACAATGTTTAAAAAGAAAAAATAATAATAAAACTATACTCTGGATATTTACTTGGTCTAAGAAAATAATTTGCTCCAAATGGAAACATTCCACATATTCAGAGGAATAAAAAAACTGTCAAGACCCAAAGTCTTATTTTCAAAAGTATGTAAAACTTCGATAAAATTATAAAGATTTCTAATATACTTTTTGAGATATTCCCAAATCCCCTTAATAATAAAATTATTAATAATGTTCAAATTGAGTTACTATATTGCAAATAAAATGTATCATTAAAAATAGTGGGCACTTTATCATTTTATTTAAATGCTACTCATTTTTCCAGTATTGTTCTTATCCAAGTAGTCATAATTGGGACTGGAACTTCTATCTCTAAATGATGCAGCCATTAACTCAACTAACTAATTTTACAATCTGTTTTGCCATGATCGTAAAGGGGATCATAGTGGTTATTAAATGAATCACATGGTCATTAACTGAATATAACTCCCTATAACAGCCAGTGTTAATAAAAGCTGTTACTCAAAAGAGTTTTTTTAAATTTCCTTTTTAAAATTCATATAATCCATTTACAGCAGAAAGCTAATAAATTGTTTTTTATTCTTCTAAAGGATAAATAGATCTACTCATTAAATTTCCTGAAAAGGAAGAAAATATTAGCTAACTAGTCATGCTTTATAATAAAATTACTGCTATCCTACTGCTATACTGTGTACTGAACAAATATATATCATATCAGAGCCACTCTATTAAAAGTGATGGGTAGTTAAGAAGTGGAAAGGAGGGATTTGGTTATTCAATTAATTATGGACTTTCAATACTTAGGCAAAAAACTTACTCAACATAGTATGTTCCATACTGAGGGTCTTCTATTTTTTCCCAGCCATAAGGAAGCTCTGTAATTAGAAGAGAAAAACTGATGAGCTTATTACTTTTTTTATCCCACTTATACCATGGGGATGCAGGACAATGTACTACAAATTTACAAATATAAAAATAATGTAAAATTCAAAAAAAATATTAAACGTAGATGACACAGAAACCAACTAAATCAAAAACAGAAACAATGTTCACTGAACTAAACTCTGGTTCAGAAACAAGTCAGCTTAAATATCAATTCAGTTGTCTTTGGTTGACCTGGCAGTGCCTTTTCAAGCTTTTCAACCAATCTTTGATTATTGTCATAGACCAGTGTTATGTGATAGCATTTGTGATGGCATTTCAGGTACTCATCAACTGGCACATCTGCAGTTGCCTGTGATCATATAACTGCAATTTATAATGTTTGTTTCCACTTTTTAGCAAAAACACCCAATAGAAAACAATGGGTTCAGGTAACAACCCCAACATTCACTTTACAACTGTAGCATTCGCTTTATGATCATGATGTTTACTTAGCTGCCACAAAAAAAGATAATAAAACAGGTCTGGTCACATGGTGACTCACTTTATGACCATCACGACTTAAGATTGTAAGCCCATTACAATTGTAAGTCAAGAACTATCTATACAATCACTTCTCCAAGCAAAAATGAAACAAAATTATCACAGTTTTAGACAGTTCAAACTAGACAGTTATAAAAACAGAGTTCTGGGAAAGTTTTAAAAAAATATTTCCATTATTTTAAAAAAAAAACTTGACTCAATAATGTTACATTACTTTGTTATCCTTCCCTTCCCTTATCCACTCAATACCTTTATTCACACAAAACAGTTTAAACTATAACATTTTTCATCACTTCATCAGGGGTCGGCAACCTTAAACACTCAGAGCCACTTGGACTTGTTTCAGGTACAGAAAAACCGGAAGCCACAAAACCTGGGTGGGCTTGGCCAACTCGATATCACTCACTCTCACCCAGTCATGTAGATGTATAATAGTTGCATATTAGGAAGTCATGTGAATTGCCAAAGCAATATGTTACTCTCACTCTTATACAACATAAATAGTAAATTACCTTGGGGATTTGTATTGCCATTTCAAAGTGAAGAGTTTCCATTCCTGTCCCATCACTGGTTGGCCCTGCCCCTCTTATTTCTTTTTTGGACTCTAGCCTGAAGTGGCAGGAAGTGAAGGCTGCCTTATGTGCAAATGTGGTGTAAAGGCAGGTACAGGGCAGCTTCGCTCCTGTACTCTCTGGTGACCCTCTTCCCCCTCCTCCTCTCAAGATGCCTGGGCCAGCTGTGGCTGAACCAGGAGCGTGCGCACACGCAGGGAGACCCTACTCAAGCGAGTGCCAAAGCTCAGGAAAGGCGCATGCGGAGCAGGCAGCGGCTCGCTTAAGAAGGGTCTCTCCATGCGTGTGCACACTCCCAGTTCATCCACAGCCGGCCAGGGGGTTACGAGAGGACCCCCTGGCCGGGGGGAAGGAAGAAGGAGAAGGAGGATCGGGAAGGAGAGTGCAGGAGCGAAGCTGCAATGTACCTGCCTTCACGCCACATTTGCATGTAAGGCAGCCTTTGCTTCCTGCCGCTTTGGGCTGGAATTCAAAAAAGAAATAAGAGGGGTGGGGCGAACCAGTGATGGGACAGGGAGCCGCGGCAGAGGGCCCAAAGAGCCACTTCTGGCTCCGGAGGCGTGGGTTGCTGACCCCTGGACTAACTCCATGCTCAGGCCTTTTCTTGTGCCAGACCATTATAGCCTTACCAATCAGCATCAGGGATGCTAAAAGTTCACCCCTTATGTTTCACTTCCTATTTCTACCTTTTCCCCATTGCTATAAAGGTTTAAAAAAAAACACTGATGTGATTATGGTGGGTGCCAATCCAGTCTGGCTCAGGAACAATTGAACTACCTTCACTTATTTCCGTCTCTGTCATCTTTCTCTTCTGTGGCCCACAGTTGGAAAATCAGCAGAGACATAGAACAATGTGGCTGAAGAAACTCCATTTTCACAGACCACTTTAGAATTTCATCTTGGTCAAGAATGTCAGAATAGACAAGATTGTGGAAGGTGGAATTTACATGACACGGTAAAACTGACACTGCCTGAATCCATGATGTTAGTGCTGCTCATTTCTTTGCACAAGAGAATTCCTTCCATGGATCAGTCAAGCATATTGAAAATATTGCAAACATTTTACCAGGTTTATTATATCTTATTAGTTCCTCAAGTCAAACTTAACTCCTGATAATAACTTGGGATATGTCCATAAAAAATTCTGAGAAAAAATATATAGTCTGATTTGTTGAGTTTTTCCAAACCAGTACTAAGGATGATAATACTTTCATAAAGTTATACCTTCAGAATCATGTTAAAAATAAAAATAACTAGATGTTATTTTATTTAAGCGACTTGACTTTGGTCTGACAGCATAAAGAAAGAGCAACGGTGATGAAAGCCATACTGTTATGATGAACTGCAGATGTACTGTGGTTCCCTGAAAATAAGACAGGGTCTTATTTTCTTTTGAACCCCGAAATAAGGGCTTGGCATTAATTGGAAGGGGGCATCTTATTATTTTGGGGGTGGAAGAGGCGGCAAGCATGGGACTGGATGTTCCGTCATCGCTGCTGCCTCCCCTCTGTTCTTCGCGCCGGCTGAGCAGCTGGCCGCCGCTGCCCTGACGTGTCCCACCGCTGCTACTGCCTCGTGGAGCAGGACTCTGCAAGGCTTGTTGTGCCATTGCACGCATGAACAGCAACACTGTCGCGAGCTTCATCATACCAGCACAGCTGGCGTCCTGCCGCTCGTAGCTGTGCCATTATGTCAAGCCTCGCAGCAGTGCTGCCGTTCGTGCGTGCAAGGGCACAAGCCTTGCAGAGTCTTGCTCCATGAGGCGGCGGTGGCGCAATGAGTCTCACAAAGACTCATTTCTGACAGGTGAGGCGGGGGAGAAGCGAGATGTGTGGAGTAAGACATGGCTCCCCTTGCCGTCTCTTCTCCCCCCCCCTCGCTAGGCATGGCAGGGCTCCTGCTCCTTGCTTAGCCACCCGCTCCCTTTAGGGATGCAATTTGGGGTGGCAAGTGGGGCGGGCGAGAAGCGGGATGTGCGTCTTACCTTTCAAGCTCCGTGGCATTCCTCGCAGTTGTGTCCAGGGAAAAACGTTGTAAAAGAAAACTTCTTGCGAGTTCAAGAGCTTTGACTGAACTCGCAAGAAATTTTCTTTTACAACGTGTTTGTAAAAGAATGCTTATATTAGATCACATATCAATAAAAATATGTGTTTAGCCATTTAAACCAAGTTCTTCATTTACACCTCATTCAACTGCACATTGTTTAAAAAAACCCAAACAAATAAACCAATCCAAACCCAACATCCAAAACCCAATTGCATTTCAAGTCGACAGATATAGAGTTTAAAAATTGTATGGAAATAAGGCTCATCTTAAATCTAAGTTGTTTCTTCTCTGCCTCAACACATATTGAGAAAAAAAGGACTGCATAATTAATTCATGTATTTGTGTATCTATCAAAGCCAAAAATAATACATTTTGCATAATCATTTATAACAGCAAATGTTCACTGCATAGAACACTTCTATGAGTAGAAGAATATGGATTCAGAAAATTATATAATAGTATTTTTTTAAAAAATCATATTATAATTAAACAAAAGTTCACATGTACTGACTCGTGATTAAAATAGATACATATCATAACAGTTTAATCTTAATTAAATTATTATTTTTTAATAATTGTAATAATTAGTTTAATTATTAAGCAGCAAATAAGAAATTTCAATGAACTATTGCATTTTCCTTTTTTAGTTTTTGTTGTTATTCTAAAGCAGGTGTCAAACTCGATTTCATTGAGGGCTGCATCAGGGATGTGTTTGACCTTATGGGTGCGGGGGGCTGCGGTAGCCATGGTTAGGGTGGGTGTGGCCAGCTTGACATCACTCATGTCTGGGGCAGCTGTGGTGGCCTGGGGAGGGGGCTGGGGGGGATCCACTGTCTCCAGCGGAGGAAGGCAAGACCAGGGAGGGACACCAAGGGTTTGGCGCTCAGACAGAGGCCCACTCCCTCTCCATGCAAGGAGACCCCATTTCCAAAGCATCCTCAGCGATAGGATGGGAGACCACCAGGAGAGGTCAGGAGGAGGAGACAATGGGATGGCGAAAGGGCAGCAGGGCTGCTGGTGGCTAACTGCTAAGGCAAGGCCTTCCTTCCTTCCTTCCTTCCTTCCTTCCTTCCTTCCTTCCTTCCTTCCCTTCCTTCCTTCCTTCCTTCCTTCCTTCCTTCCTTCCTTCCTCCCTCCCTCCCTCCCTCCCGCCTTTCCTTCTTTTTCCTTCTTTGCTCTCTTCCCATCCTCCCTTCTTTTTCTTTGTCTTCCTCTTTCCCTTTCTCCTTTCCTGTCCCTTTTTGGATGCTCAAATGCAAAAGGGTAAACATTCCTCCTTTTGTTGTTTTGCTTTTAGTTTGTTTTGCTAGCCTTCTGCCAGTGAAAACAGAGGCGGGGGGGGGGGCACATGCAGCCTAGGCCTCATTTTCAGCTACAATGGCCTTCTGCAGCCCTCTGCCAGTGAAAACGGAACTTGGGGTGTGCGCACGGCCCCTCGGGCCCCATTTTTGATCATGACGGCCTCCTGCAGCCCTCTGCCAATGAAAATGGAGCTCATTGGGCCTGTACATGCCCACCCCCCCAGCTCCTGTTTTCTCTGGCAGTGGTCTACAGGAGGCTATTGTGGCTGAAAATGGAGCCTCCTGAGCTCCATTTTCACTGGCAGAGGCACCTCAGGCTGGTTCTTCCCTATTTCCAGGGCAGCCCCATGGGCCAGATCTAAGCTTCACTCTAAATTCTATAGCACGATTCCCATATCCTATATTTTAGGGTCAACAGTAAAGGAATCTGAAATTAAGATATAAGTCACAGACTAGTATTTGCTAAAATAGCTATGAAATTCTTGGAAAATATATTCAGATGCTGTGATGTGTCCCTATTTACAAAAATCCAAATCATGCAGACAATGCTTTCCCTGTGACATTCTCTGGAATGTTGCACTTTGAAGAAGAAGCAAAGGAAGCACAGAAGTACTGAAAGCATAGTAGCACAGAAAGAATATTAATGCTTTTGAAAGCTGGTAGTGGAAAAGACTCTCGAAAATACTATTGATAGCCAAGAAAAACAAACAGATAAACAAATTAACAGAATTCTCACTTGAGGCACAAATGACCAGGCTCAATTAATGTTCTTTGGATACATTATGTGAAGCTATGGAGAAGGCTCTGATGCTGGAAAAGACAGAAAGAAAAAGAGGATGACCAGCAGCAAGATGGTAGTAATTAATTGCAGTAGTGATGTGTGTATTGTTGGAAGATCAGAAGGATCAATTGGAGACAGATACTCCTACAGGAAATCTGTCTATGTGGTCACTAAGAATCAACCCCAACCTGAGGGCACATAATTCATCAGTAAAAAGCCAGTGGGAGAGGAAATGTGAGCACTGTGTTGTGGAGTCTCTTCCCTGCTACTTAAAAATCTATATAAAATCACTGAGTGATTTCATCCATCAGTTTGAAGTGAGACAGCATAAATTTGCTAATGCTACTCTGTTGAATACTGCCAGTCTGAACTTTTTTAGGGGATGGGAGAAGATAAAAGAGAATGAAAAAAATTGCAGTTCTGGGAAGCAAGAAGGGTTGGCCAATTGGGTTACTGCTGTTCACTCTAGTTACAGTTGTCTCTCAAAACATCTGGAAACTCCTATTGGTTCAAAATGCAGCAGCCCACAAGTTAATGACTCTTTGTGCCACAACCACACAGCATTTCTTTTTGGGTTGCCAGTAATTACCCAAGTACAATTCTCTACATTACCCAGACATTACAATATTCACACCCCATCAATATCTATTGATGGTTCTGCGGTCCTGAGAAGTAGAAGTAGGGAAGGAAATAACAGACAATGGTTTGTTTGTTTTTCAGTTGCAGTCCCTGCATTTTGGAATGCCTGAACTGGGAATCTAAGGTACAAAAGAAATCAATAAAACAAAATAATGACCAACTCAAATGTGAATACTGATGCTATGGAGATTTTTTTAAAAAAACTGAAGTGTTTGGTGTCATGTAATACAGACTGCCCAGATGGAAGGTCTTAAAATGGAATAATTAGGGAACCACCATTTCTGGAACAGAGCACTGGGAGGCATCTTCAAGGTGCTCCAGCTGCAGGCTGATCTTGAAATATAAAAGGAGTTATATATGCTATGGAAAGAATTGATCAGAGTGCAACAAGATTACAAGGATGTGATAAATGTATGTGAATCAGATACTATAATGCAGAAGCATTATGCAACTGATTAATACAGTTAGTAATTGATGGAATGTGCTGAGATGAGTAAACTGACATTTGAAATAAGAGAGCAGGAAGATAGACAATATTATTTGATATGGGATTTATTTTACCAATGGATAGAGAATAAGAATTGGAAATAATTATGATATAAATGGATGTTGAAATCTTTGGAAATAAGCTAGCACGTTTAGTAATAAATTGAAGAGAGGAGGAGCACAAAAAATGCCACCAACTGAAACACTGTCTTTGATTGTATGGAATGATAATGTTTTTTTATGTTCTATTTTGTTTTTGTTTTTGAAAAAAAAATACAGTTAGTAATTTATTACACCAGGAAAGCTTTTTCTCAACAATTCAATAAACATGAAGTAAACCCTACATAACAGGGTTTAGAGTTTAGGGTTAGGGTTTAGCTGCTTCTTACCTCCATCTTCACAATCTTCAGGGGCTTTGGCCTTTTTACACAGACGAGGATCCAGCCAGGTGGTAGTTTTCGTATTGTGGCTATGGAGTCAGAGAAATTAATTAGAAAATAGTAATAAAAAGTTCCCTTCATTACAGAAACATGTTGCAGCTTATCTTCAGACACTGGCGCTGTATGTGCGTGTGTATGGGAGGGAGGGGGAGGGGGGCATAAATGAAGAAAAATTTCTAAGCATGTAATTTCATTTTTATTAAATATTTCAAAATGGAACCCTGGCTATGTTGAATTATTTGTAATTTGTAAATAATTCATAATTATTTGAAAATAACTTCTGATTTCTGATAAAAATAACCAGAGATGAACTGTGCTTCAAAATTCTGAAAGATGCTTGAATCATGTTCTGTTTTTAAAATAACAGATTTATATGAGAGAAAAAACTTGTTAAACAGCCAAAATCTGTTTAATCATAGTCACAGTTGACATAGTTTTCTACAAAACAACAGATTTGTTTTGAATGGGGTTAACTTAGGTTAAAGTTGTCAGAAAATACTGATAACTAATGATTTAGCATTCAATGAATGATATATTCATGATTTGTGTAGGTGTCTGTGTATTTTACCAGAGAAGAAACAGAGTAATGAAATGAAAACAGACATGTCCCTTCTAACTATTTATAATAAGCCTAAAATAGAAATTCAGCTTGCTTTTAAGGATATACATAAAAGTAGAAATTATCCAAACTAAAGATAAAAATTATCTCATATTTTTTTAGCTTGTTAGATTATCCAGTTCATAGCATAATTATAAAATAAATAGTAGATTCATTATTTAAATGAAACATTTAGTTCTTAGAATTGTCACATTAATTGTCCTGTATTAAAACTATGTATTTAGAAATATAAACAATTATATGAAAACTTTTACAATATTTTACAATGATTTACTTGAAATATGTTTACAGAGAGACTTCTACAAATTTGCCTTTGTATTCTATACAATTCCACTGCACTGATCTGAGTTGTCTACAGAGATCTTTGATTTTGGGAAATACAGCCTCTTTGGGAGGAAATATTTTCCTTGATAGAGATTCCTCCCCCCCCCCAAATAAATCTTTGCAATGGAATATGGATAGATATTTATTATATTGTTAACATGTTAGCAGAAATTGATCAGCTGAGACATCTTTAAGTGTACTAACAATCATCTTGGTTTGATAATTCTAAATGCATATAATATCAGCTTCTACTCACTCAATGAAATAGATCATTCCAGTATCTGTGTAGGCCATCTCCCAGTTCTTGGGCAAGGGCTCTAAGTTTTCTTCCCTCGTTAAATAATTTTTGAAATCCACAGAACTATTTGTCTGACTATAACTAGGAACAGTTTTCATCCAATCAGAAGAGTCCAAATGTCGCTCTTTGAATTCTGCAATTGTTTAAAGAAAATAATTCATTTTATTTATTTAGTTAGTTTGTTTGCTGCCCATCTCTAAATATCTAGGCGGCTTTCAATTTTAAAAAAGAATAAATATAAAACATGTATATAATATCTAATTTATCTTTATTCTGCTTTACACAAAGATAAACTGAGTATGTCACAAATTCCCTAAGAACAGAGCTAAGCAGTATAATTTGCTCCAAGATTCCAAAGACTATGGACTTTGCTCCAACCAGGTACATAGAAAATGTTCTACCTTTTCTATTTCATTAAAAAAACAAACCAAGAAGGACATTCTGCAAAGCAATTTTTTAGTTTCTAGCAACCAATCTTTTATCTATCATCTATCTATCCATCCATCCATCCATCCATCCATCCATCCATCCATCCATCCATCCATCCATCCATCTATCTATGGTTGTATGTATGTATGTTCCGGCATAACTCTGGAACGTCTCAAGCAATTTCAACCAAACATGGTACACAGATGACTTACCCTCTGGAAACAAATACTGGGGGTGGGGGGAGAGACACCCCTGGTGTGTGTGTGTGTGTGTGTGTGTGTGTGTGTTTCTGTGTGTGTGTGTTCCAGCATCACTCTGGAATACCTGGGCCATTAAGGAAAGTGAGTGTGGCGCCCTAGAGCGGCAATTGTTTGTGATGTCACTTCCTTTGCAGCTTCCTCTGGAAAGCCAGCCGTGACGTTCACCCTCCAGTGGACCAATGGGGAAGCGCCTTCCCTTGTCAGAAGGTGTCCCCTATTGGATTTGGGGCAAAGTGCCAGGATCGTACACAGGGTGGGAAAGAGGAGCGCATGGGAGGGGGAAGGGAGAAGGCAGGGATGATGGGAGTAGGGGGAAGAAAGGCCCCTCTCAATGGCTCCCTGGTGTGTGTGTGTGCATGTGCGTGTATGTATGTATGTTCCAGCATAACTCTGGAATGCCTCGAACAATTTCAACCAAACTTGGTACACAGATTACTTACTATCTGGAAACAAATACTGTGGGGTAAGACACCCCTAGCACCCCAGGAGTGTGTGTGTTCCAGCATAACTCTGGAACATATTCATTTCAGGATTGGGATATAAAAATACCCAGGCAACGCCGGGTTATCAGCTAGTTTATTTATAAAAATATCTTTGGTTCCTATAAAGATTCCACTGAAATGTTAGAGAGAAGTTTGAAAACAGTTGTCATCATTTGAGAAATGGACAAGTTTTCTTTTTTTTAATTAAAAATACCCATTACAGCAACCATAAGTAAATACTGTATACAGGTAGACCTTGAGTTACAACCATAATGGAATCTGCCCAACCAACCTTGCAGGTTGTTAAGCATAGCACGGGGTAGGGAGACCCTGGGAGGCCTAACTGCTCAACTGCCCTGGGCCTCCCAAGGCCTCCCACACCCAAGGTGTACCATGCTTTGCTTCCTGCCCCTCAGGGTCTCTGCAGACCTTGGACTTGCTATCCTTCCCCCCCAACCAGGTCCCCACAGGCCTCAGCTTGCTTCTTACCCAACCATTCAGCCACCCAGGGGAGCCTAGGATCAGCTATAGAATCTATTGGCATGCTCAGGGCTATTGCAACTTGTAGGCCTCAGCCTGCTCCCAACTCAGCCAAACAGGACAGCTGAAAGCTATTCAAAGAAGCTACCAGTGAGCACAGGACTGTTGCAGCTTACAAGCTTGAGACTGCTTCCCACCCAGCCACTCAGCTACCTTTACCTCGTCAGCTAGCTCCAGGACCCAGTAGCATCTAACTTACCTTTCTGTTTTTTGAAGAGAGGGCCGGTATGATGTTAAGTTCAGCTTTTCTATTGAAGCTTCACATAGCAATCACATGCTACACTACAAGCAGGTGCTACTATCACAATCCTGTTGGGATTCTGTTGATTAAGAAGGCTCCACAAACTCCATAGAGAGCTTTTAGCTTCTCCTGGATGGCTGAGTGGCTGGGTTGTGCGCAAGCCAAAGCTGCAGGGACCTGGCAGGGTAGGATAGGATGAGTGGGGGAAATAGGGAGTGGGTGTTGCAACATCCCTGTGGTCGGTTGTAAGAGCATATAATTGCAGAGGCACTGTAGTGACCATAATTTTCAAACTGGATTGTAAATAGGGAGGAGAGTTGTGTCATAACTTTGAACAGATGCTAAGTGAGTAGTCATAAGCTGAGGACTATCTGTAGTAGTCATTTCATAAGAGTGCCCTCTCAAAATTCCAAACGTGTCTTTGGTCCTGAAAGAATACCTATCCTTGGACAAATTTCAAGTACATTAATCTAAGAAAACTGAAAACAATATTTATTAAGATATTTGAATTTGTATTGTATATCTTCACCTGTTCACATTTAATAAACTCAACATATTAAGTCTCAAAATATTTAGAAGAGAAACTCTCTTATAAACAAAATATGAATTGTGTTACAAGTTACTTATTACATTTCTAAACTATTTTTCACAAGCTTTAATATTTATTTATAAAATAAGTAAAAATGTACACTGACCTGTTCCTCCATTACCATTAATTGCTACTTTTTCTTCTTCCTCTTCTTCTTCAGGAAGGGAAGTGTCCATTTTCTGCATTTTGCTGACAGATGTTGTTCTTTTTCTTTGGGATTCCAGGTCAAAATCGTTATCAAAAAGCACCTGGTCCACTGGATCAGGTTGGAATGGACTAGGCTCAGCTGGAGGTTTAGGAGTCCCATAGAAATTACCTTAAATATATGTATGTGAAAGAAAGAAAAAGAGATAAGCAGCCATATAAATGTATAAAACATTGCTTTTTTCTTTCTCATGTTTATATAGCCACCCATCTTACATAAGTAACAAAATAGAATAAGTGAATAAATAATAAATCTTTCTAACAAAGAATTTAGGTTCATGGTCATCCGTGAGAAGGCAAGAAGAGGCGAACAATTATAGACGTGCCATAAATACATATTTGTGGAGTACTCATGGTAACAGGGTAATACAAATCCCATTACTTTGACATTGCAGTTGAAGTTTCTTTTAGTCAGTCCAAGGTAGCCTAGATCATGAAAAAGATTCCACAGTAAGACTAGAATTATATTTATTGACATCAGCTTTAATAACAGATACTAACAGATGATAACTTTTCCTCACTTTTCACTTTCCAGTGAGTCAGGAAAGTGTCTCTTCTTTTCAGGTAGTCCTTAACTTATGACAATTCATTCAGCAACCGTTTGAATTTACAACAGCACTGAATGAAGGGATTTATGATCCTGCCTGAAGTTCCAGCAACAAAATCTGGGCACTTGGCAACCTGCCCATCCTTATGATCAACTGCAGGAATTCTGCAGGAAGCCTCCTCACCTATGTTCCCCCACCCTGCCCCGCCCCACTGGGTCACTGCAAGATCCATCATGCTGGATCCCACATTCTCCCCATTAACTCTCACTCACAGCTCAGTTCACTTATCTTTCCCATAGATCTCTTTCAGGAAAGCAACCAATCTGCTGTGCAATCTTCCTACACAGAGGCCACATGGAGTCCTTCCAGAAGGGGCACCATTTTGGGAGTGTGATGCAAAGAACTGTAGCCAATCCAGATTGGTGCCTGCTTCTGGGATGGCAGCATATGGCCTTTGTACTGTATAAGGAAGGATGGATCAGCAGACTCCCCTACTCAAAGGTGATATCCAAGATCTCCTTTGAGTCATCAAGTGCAGCACAAGGTGCCACAAGGGTGGGGGGACCTGGGCAAGCCGTATGTAAGTTGGGAAGGTGCTGGAATGTAGGTTGGACCTGCGCTAGGACTTCCAAAGCCTCCCCTGAGGTACCCTGTGCCATGCTTAACAATTGCAACAGGAAAAGCAGGGATTGTGATCATTAAGCAATGTAGGTGCTTTGCTTAATAACTGCCATGACTTATGACTGCAATAGACAGGCTCAATTATGGTCATAAGTCAAGGACTACCTGTGATATCTCCCTTCCCAGAGCTTAAGAAATATTTCTGTCTTCTTTGCTTAAATAATCGTTTCTGAATTATTATTCTAAATTATTTTATCTGGATGTCAAGTATTCTGGTATTTTATATTTTTAAGGGTTATCTTTGATACTTTGTTCAAAGTCACTTATCAAATCATTCCTTGCATGAGACAGCTGTTCCTACACTATTTTTCTCTACAGGAAACACGAAGTGACACAATTTAGATGACAGCATTCTGGATCATTATTTACAGTCATCATGGTACAAAGTCCTTTTTGATTTTTCTTGATAGTGAGAATAGCTAAATAAATTTCTGGTTTATCCAACTTCCAGCATCTGCTTTTATTGCATTAATCTGAAGCAAAACAAAAAACAAAAAAACCCTCAAGAGAAGGCAAGAACAAATGCAAGATTCCAAGCAGTTATGTTTATACAAATAAACTGTTCATTAATAACAGTAAGAAATAATGACAATTTTAACTATGTATACTATGCCTAGTATTTTTAAAAATCTGTCTATGTATGCCTAAAATCAGTTATTTGGTCAGCACATCCTAATGTGCTCTTACAGAAGCTGAAATAATTATGTGTAAGTTATATATGTTACATATTCAGCTGAAAAAAATCTGGAGTTTTGGCAGCTTATTGCAGCAATATTTACTATAAACGAGCAAGGTTGTTGTACTTTAAAGGCCAAACATTCAAAATACCCTCTACCCTCACTCAAACATGACTCAATTTTAATAGGGCTAAGAATAGCAGAATAACAGAGTTGGAAGGAACCTCGGAGGTCTTCTATTCCAATCCGTTGCTCAAGCAGGACCCTACCATTTTAGACAAATGGCTGTCCAGTCTCTTTTTAAAAGCCTCCAATGATGAAGCACCCACAACTTCTCAAGGCAAGCTCTTCCACTGGTTTATTGTTTTCACTTTTAGGAAATTTCTCCTTCGTTCTAGGTTGCTTCTCTGCTTAATTAATTTCCATCCATTGCTTCTTTTCTTGTCTTGCCTTCTGGTGCTTTGGAAAATAAATTGACCCCCACTTCTTTGTGGTGGCCCCTCAAATATTAGAACACTGCTATCATATTGCCTCTAGTCCTTCTTTTCACTAGACTAGACATACCCAATTCCTGCAACTGTTCTTCATATACTTTAGTCTCCAGCCCCCTAATCATCTTTGTTGCTCTTTTCTGCACTCTTTCCACAGTCTTTCCACAAAAGAACATCCTTTTTATATTGTGATGACCAAAGTCGGATGCAGTATTTCAAGTGTGGTCTTACCAAGGCCTAATAAAATGGTACTAATACTTCATGTGATCTTGATTCTATCACACTATTAATGCAACTTAGGGATGCATTGGCTTTTTTAGAGGCTGCAGCATACTGCTGGCTCATATTTAAGTGACTGTCCACTAGGACTCCGAGATCCTTTTCTCAATTACTCTATTGAGCTAAGTTTCACTTACTGTTCCTGTACATTTGGTTTTTCTTGTAAGTATAAAACCTTACTTTTCTCTACATTGAATTTCAATGTAGGGTCCAGTATTCAAGTCTGTCAAGGTCCATCTGGATCTCCTATCTTCTGGGGTATTGTCTATTTCTGTTAGCTTGATGTTATCTGCAAATCTGATGAGTTCCCCTTCTATTCCCTTATCTAAATCATTTATGAAGATACTGAAGAGTATTGGGCCTAAAAGAGAATCTTGGGGTACCCCATGGCTTAGTTCCCTCCATGTAGATGTAGTTCTCTTAAGGACTATACATTGAGTGCATTTTGTCAACCAATTACAAATCCATCTGGTGCTCATGCGGTCTATTCCACATTTCTCTAGTTTACCAAGAAGTAGGAGGTAGTCTACTTTGTCAATGCCTTACTGAAATTCAAGTATACTATGTCCACAGCATTTTGCTGGTCCACTAATTTAGTCACTTTGTCAAATAACGAAATAAGATTTATTTGTCATGATCTGTTTTTGACAAACTCATGTTGGCTTTTCACTCTTAGGTAAGTGTGTAATACAAATGTCCTTTTAAGAACCAAAGAATATAACCATCCATCTCTATATATTTGGTTATCTAATGCAATAGATTTTTCTATAAAACATGTGTGAATCTATCTCCTTTGCAGAAATACAGTATATATGCTGAAAAACTGTAATTTTCAAATTTAACTCTAAATCTCTGATATTGTTGTTGAACAATATAAAGCATTTAATCCTCAAATGGTTGTCCTGTATGAACCTTCCATTTAAAAGGGGGAATATTGTTTTATTTTATATTCACTAGTTCCGAATGAAACTTATAAAAAAAATGAAAACCAATTTTATTTCAATCTATAGTATATCATAATTAATCAGAAGAATCTGTAGATTTTTTGGCAGCTGCAGCCAAGAACAAACTCATTTTTATGCAGAAACATGAAACAGCAATTCACACAAAGGCAGTTTTAAAACGTGTGGTTAGAGCATTATTTCCATTCTTTCGTATGAAGGCTTGTTCAAATAAAACAGTTCAATACCGAATTACACCTCAGAAAGCTAAAAATACTATGTTGCTGCACTTGAAGGATCTCAGCAATATTTTTAATAAAATAAGTGTCTTTAAAAAATTAAACAATTGGCTTTTTACTCCTTAAATTAATCATTGCAATTTTAATAATGACATTCCATATAGCATAAAAGAAACTGCCAGGGCTTCAGTTATTTTAATATTTTGAAACTGTAACTCTATTTTAACCTTGTAAAATAGCTCCATATCAAGTGCCTTTATAAACTGTTAATATGGTATCCAGATATAGTAATAAAAGTTATTACCCAATATATGTATGTCTGGATGTGTATGCAAAGAAAGTCCTATACAAATCTAAAAGCAAACAAAAAGCAAAGTTCAAAACTGTACAAAAATCAGGCCATAAGCCAGAATCATCTCTCTGGTAACATTATTAAAGGTAAAGGTTTCTCTGTCAGTTGAGTCTTATGTTAAGGCATGATGTTCATCTCCATTTCTTGGCCAAGGGAGCCAGTACTGTTCGAAGAAAATCTCCATGGTCAGCATGGCTATACACCAAAGGGGCATGGATTGCTGTTACCTTCCCCCTGAAGGGGTACCTATTAATCTACTTCCATTTACATGCTTTCCAACTACTAAGTGGGCAGGAGCTGTGACAAGTAACAGGAGCTAACCCCGTTACACAGAACTCAGGTCTCAAACACGGGCTGCCAGCTCCCCATCTGATAAGCTCAGCATCTTTAATAGCTGCTACCAACTGCTGACAAAACATTTAAAATACAGTCTCTTTCTGAAAAATCATTGTCACTCTTGCATAAAAACAACTTTCTATGCAATAACAATGGTCATCTTTAACGCTATGCATACAGACACACACAAACATTCACTATTTGATATTATATCTCTTAATCATCAAGGTATAAACAAGTGATGCAGCACTTTCTTTTCTGAGTGCTAAAATTATTTTCAATTAATCCTTAATAGTTTTGTATTATTACCAAACCGAGTTACTATGATGATGAGAAACAACAGATAGAATTCTAAGCCAAATGCAATATAGATTAAGATTCCAGTTTATCTTAAACCATTTCTCTGAACAGCTTTGATATGAATACATGATCACAGTAGACTGAGGTCAAGTGAGGACCATGCAGGTCATTAAGAAAAGACCTTACATGACCGTAACTTCCTATGTCCTGCCAGCTCATTGACTTTGCTTGTGGAAAGCAGCAGGAAACATTAGAAACTACAATCATATGACCACGGGGCACAACCGTGGTAAATGTGAGGTGGCGGCGGCCATGCAACTGAATCACAATCATGTGACTGCAGGGGTGGTATGACAACTGAAACTTTGAGGACTTGTAATATATACTTCATGTTCAATGCTGTTGCAATTTCAAAGAATCTCTGAACAAATAGTTGGCAACAGAAGAACTACCTGTAATTATATCTCACATAAATGTTAATCTAGAAATAACTGATCAAGTGATAAGTTTTAATGTACCATCATATGTTCCACTTTCTAGCAAAGCTCCACTTTCTTCCAAAGCCTTGAATTGGTCAACAGGTATAAAATTATAGTCCACTCCAGGGACTTCCCCATCTCTGGGAGCTCTTGTAGTGCCTGGAATAAAAAGGCAGAATTGTGGATAAATACTTGTAAAATTTTCTAACTGTATCAGTTTGCAAATTGCTATACAAAACTGACCTAGATTCTGCCACTCTGCTATACAATAATAAAAACAGATTCAACCACAAGTACTTGAAACTAGAGCAAAAAAATGCAACGGGAACAATGTTAAACCAAATTAAAATCAAGGATGTAGTTTATTTATTTGTTAAAATTCTTGAACTACGCACTTGTCAATGACTCTGGATGGCTCACAAGGATTAATATAATTAATCCTTGACAGTCATGACTATCGCATATTTCCTGCAAACTCAGGGTTTGATGTCTCTACAGCCACCATGTGCCTCCAAATGGTAGAAGATTGGATATAGGAAAACAAGCTGAATCTGAATTTATAGAAAACAGAATTATTGAGCCTGGACTCAGTTGATCCAATTCTGAATGGATTGTACTAACACTTAATGAACATGCTTGCAACCTGGTGCATTCTCCTTGATATAAAACTGGTTAAGTACATAACAATAGTGACATGGGTCTTTTATCAGCCTCAGCTGATAGACCAATTGTCTCCTTCATGAGGAAGAGAATCCTGATTCAGTGAGATATATATACTGCTCAAAAAAATAAAGGGAACACAAGCAGAAGACATCCGAGATCTGAATGAATGAAATAGCCTTATTAAATACTTTGTTCGTTACATACAGTAGTTTTGTGCTCCCTTTAGTTGTTTGAGCTGTGTATAAACAGTGTATATGAAGACTGGATTATTACAATATGCTTTGTGAGTCCATTTGGAGGTTCTCCTTGTCAAATATAAAGCCTTTGGTCCTCAAAGGAACATTTTCTGCAAGCTGCACAAACTGAAAGTAAAATCTGTTTTTACCCAGGAAGGGATCCATATTATAAAATAAACTGCAGTTGAAATACTGCTGGCCCTCTTTTTATTGCAGATATAAAAACTATATTACAACCTCATTTGGCACCTGAACTTCTGTCACTAAGCAATGCAGTCATTAAGTCACACCCAATTTTTGCCACGGTTGCTAAGCGAATCACATGGTCAGTAAGTGCTTGCCAGCAGTCCCTTGGAAAGGTCACAAATGGCAATCAAGTGACCCTGAGATGCTGCAACCATCTTAAATACATGCTGCTTGCCAAGCCTGTGAATCATGTGATCAAGGGGATGCTTAGTGTTTGTAATTGTGAGGTACTACTGTAGTTTAGAATGGTTGTTAAACAAATGCTCCTAGGTTCAGGACTACCTGTATCTCTTTGATTGATTAATTATATGCCATCAAGTTGGTGACTATATAGATAGAATTTGTCCAGGAGTATTTGTTTCCAAACTAACTTCTTAGGATTTCTGGTTGTGCATCCATCACAACTGTATGTAATCCAACTACCTTGCTGCTTGTCATAATCTGTTTTCCTCCCCCCCACCCCCCATTCCCTCAACAGCCTCACAGACTTTGCTAGACAGCTAGAACTTCATATAATGTGTACAAAATATGATAATATCAATTTGGTCATTTGTGTTCTGAGTAAGAACTTTGGATAGTTTTATTATATGATTTGTTCATTTTCCTGCCTGTCTGCCTGTCTGTCTTCTCAGACATTTCCAATGCCAAACTTCAAAATCATCTATGCTCTTTCTAATCTGCTTCTTCAAATTCTAAATTTCATTTCTATAGGAAAAACAACTGCCTGAACAATTCTGATATTTGATGTTTGTAGATATACACACATCATGACATCTGAATTACATTTTTCAAAACCTTCATTGTTGTTGTTAGTCATGAAGTCATGTCTGACCCATTGCAACCCCATGGACAACGTTCCTCCAGGCCTTCCTGTCCTCTACCATCCCCCAGAGTCCATTTAAGCTCACGCCAACTGCTTCAGTGACTCCATCCAGCCACCTCCTTCTCTGCTGTCCCTTTCTTCTTTTGCCCTCAATCTTTCCCAGCATCAGGCTCTTCTCCAGCGAGTCCTTCCTTCTCATTAGGTGGCCAAAGTATCTGAGTTTTCATCTACAGGATCTGGCCTTCTAAAAAGCAGTCAGGGTTGATCTCCTCTAGGACTGACCAGTTTGATTGCCTTTCAGTCCAAGGGACTTGCAGGAGTCTTCTCCAGCACCATAGTTCAAAGGCCTCAATTCTTTGGTGCTTCAGCCTTTGGACAGTACCAAAAGGCAGAGGCTGGGCGTTGGCTCTTACCTGATACACCCCTTCTCTGGCAGGCGGGCACGGCAGTCAGGATGGGCGTAGACCGGTTGTGAGTTGTTTAGGACCGAGTCTGCAGAAGAAGCTTAGCCCCGCCTCCTTGCCTTAGCCGTCAGTTTGAGAGACAAGGACGCTGTGCAGACAGGTGTGTCTAGGGAGAGAAAAGAGAGAGATCAGCGGTAACCGCCCCCCCATGACCTCAGAACAGGGGATGGCCCCGCAGGGAGGGGCTGACTGCCGTGCCCGCCTGCCAGAGAAGGGGCGTATCAGGTAAGAGTCAATGCCCATTCTCCTGAAGGCGGGAACGGCAGTCAGGATGGGACATAGCAAAGTCCGGAGTCCTGTCGGGAGGGAGAGGGCCGCCCCCAAAGCTAGGAGACCAGGTGAATGCCTTGAAGGACCCTCCTGCCGAAGGCACCATCCGCAAAGGCGTAGGCATCCAGACGATAGTGACGAATGAAGGCCGTGGGGGAGGACCAAGTGGCCGCCCTGCAAATTTCCTCCACCGAAGGTCTCGTTGACCAGGCAGCGGACGTGGAGGCGCTCTGGGTGGAGTGTGCGGTGATGCCCCGAGGGGACTGGAAGCGACTGGACGACATAAGCCAACGCTATACAGGCCCGAATCCATCGACCCAGAGTGGGAGCCGAGAGCTTAGAAACAAAGGATGATGGCAGGAAGGAAACGAACAAGGAGTCCGTCTGTCTGAACGCCGAGGTGCGAGCGATATAAATTTTCAGCGCTCCGCCGAACATCTAAGGAGTGCCAGAGTCTTTCTAAACGATGGCGCGGCCCTTGGCAGAAATTTGGCAACACCAACTCCTGGGACCGATGGGAGATCGAATTCAACCTTCGGGACGAAGGACGGGTCCAAGCGGAGGACAACTCTGTCTGGGTAGAAAATGCAGAGCTCTTCACGAATGGATAACAAGGCCATCTCTGAAATACAGCGGGCAGTCGTAACCGCCACTAGGAAGGCGACCTTCAGCGACAGGAACCGAAGAGAGACCGTCCGCAAGGGTTCAAAGGGCTCCTTCGTCAAGGCCGACAGTACTTTAGGGAGGTCCCATGACGGGAACGATGCACTGTAGGAGGGTGCAAATTGGTAGCCCCCCGGAGGAACTGGCGAATCAGGGGTGTCTGGAAAGAGGGTCCAATGAACCACAGGATAGCACTGAAGAGAGCGCCGTCACTTGGCGTCAAAGCGTATTTGGAGCAAGACCCGAGAGAAAAACCTTCATGGAGAAACTCCAGAATGTGTTGTACCAAGGCCGAGGCAGGCGCTAGTTGCCGTGTCTGGCAATATTTGAGAAAGGAACCCAAGTAGACTCATATATGCGTATATGTAGTCTCGTCTGGAGGCCTGAATCACAGATACAACACCCTCGGGGAGGGGAATCCCCGTCAAGTGGTGCCGCTCAGTCTCCAAGAGGCTAAATTGAACGATTGAGGGTCTGGATTTGTTAGAGGACCCTGTTGCAGGACAATCCGGTCGGCCGGAATCTGCCAAGGTTGTCGCACCGAGAGGGCCCGCAGACCGGCGAACCAAGGTCGACGGTTCCAGAACGGAGCGAGGAGGATGAGCTCCGCCCGCTCCTGCAGGAGTTTTCCGATGACGTGAGGTATGAGGGGAATTGGAGGGAAGGCGTACAGGAGGAGGCCCGGGGACCACGGGCTCCGCAGGACGTCCACCGCCTCCGCCCCTGGGGAGGGAAACCGCTGAAAAACCGGGGCAGTTGGTGATTCGTTGCGGAGGCGAACAGATCGACTGCTGGATGCCCGAAACAGGACGACAACTCCTGGAACAAATCCAGAGATGCTCCACTCTCCGCCAGATCAATCGGGGCCCTGCTGAGGAGTCTGCCATCCGGTTCTCCGTCCCTGAGATGTGAGCCGCCTTGATCGAGGACAGGTTGGAGTCCGCCCAGGAACCTAGCTTGCGGGCCTCGTGCATCAGGGCCCGAGAACGAGTGCCCCCCAGCCTGTTCACGTGCGCTTTGGCCGAGACATTGTCGGTTAGAACCAGGATGTCTCAACGAGGACATGCTGGCGAAAGTGTGGAGAGCGAGAAATATGGCCCGCAGTTCCAGGATGTGATGGCTCAGGTGTGACTTGTGAAGCGACCATTGGCCCTGGGCCAGGAGGGAGCCGAGGTGAGCGCCCCAGCCCGACAGGCTGGCATCCGTCGTCAAGATCATGCGGTGAGGCTCACGGAAGCTGCTGCCCTTGCGTATTGCCTCGGAGGACCACCAAGCCAGAGATTGAAGAACGGCCGGGGGAGAACCACCCGCGTGGCCGAGGTCGCCCTGCGTGAACGTTGGAAGGGGAGGAGGAACCATTGGAGGTCCCTGCTGTGCAGTCGCGACAAAGGGACGATCCCGAATGTCGACACCATTTTGCCAAGTAGACAGGACAAGGTGAGGAGAGATGTGGAACTCTGAGAGTCGCACCCGGGAAGCCAGGGAAATTAAACTGGAAATGCGGTCCGGGGAGAGGGACACCTAGGAACTACCCGTATTATTAGCCCAGCCCCAGATGCTGAAGCCTCATGGAGGGGTCCAGGTGGCTCTGACGCCAATTTACTGAGAAAACCATGCTCTTGCAAGACCCTCAGGGTCACTGCTATATCCTGTTGGGCCTGACTAGGGGATCGGGACAGGATCAAAATGTCATCCAGGTAAAATAAAAACTCTAATTGGTAACCCGCTGAGATAAGCCATGAGGGATGCCATAATCTTAGTAAAAACTCGTGGGGCAGAGGACAAAGCAAATGGGAGGGCGCGGTACTAATAGTGAGCCCCATTATAACAAAATCTAAGGAATTTACGGTGTTCGGGCAGGACGGGGACGTGCAGGTATGCTTCTGTCAGATCAATGGATGACAGAAAGTCCCCTTCCCGGATGGCCAGTAAAATCGTCTGAAGGGATTGCATCTTAATCGGCGGTAAACTATGTGCCGATTCAAGGCCTTCAGATCCAGGATGGGGCGCCAATCCCCAGAGGACTTTTGAACCAAAAATAAGCGGGAATAAAATCCCTGCCCAAACTGAGACTTAGGAACAGGTTCAATGGCTCGTGACTTTAATAGATGCTTAATAGCTGCCTCCACCCTGTCCCTCTTTAGAGGGAGAAAGGAAACGGGGCAGCGTAAAAATAATTGGGGAGGGCTAGACCTAAATTCAAGGGGAAGACCAGATTTAATAACCTTCTTTACCAAATTATCCGAGATATGTGGATTCCACTTAAAGGCAAAGGAAGCCAAACGGCCCCCAATCATTGAAGAGGGAGGTGAGCTAACGAGACTGCCGGAAGGGCCGGCCCCTACCTCCCTGGGGAGCCCTCCCTGGGGGTTAGCAGGGTCCCGTCTAACCTGGTTATCCGGGCCTGCAGGTCCCCTGGGCTGGTAGGATCATTGAAAGCGCTGTTGGTAAAAGCCAGAGTCGGAGGTCCGAAAGGACGAAGGCTGAAAGGAGGAAGCCGAGAGACCATTGGTAGAATCTTACGGTGGTCGCGGGTTTCGACGAGCAGAGGTTCTAAGGGAGCACCAAAAAGCTTATCCCCCGCAAAAGGCGAAGATGTCAGGCGCCATTTATAACGGATATCCGCTTGCCTTGCCAGTTTTGAGCCAAAGCATACGGCGAGAAGTCACCGTCAATCCAATGGCCTTGGCCGAGAAACGGGAGGCGTTCAATGTGGCGTCCGTGGAGAACTCCATTGCGGCAAGGATTTTATTTATGTCTTGATGAGAACGAACGTCCGTGGCCGAATGCGGCCCTGCAGCTGCTTCAGCCAAAGGATAGATGCCCTATTGAAAAACGAAGCCGCCGAAGCCGCTTGCACAGCCAAGCAGAGGCCTGGTGTCCCTTAATAAGAGACCACTCTGTCTTACGGTCTTCTGGGCGTAAGGATTCCTCAGCCGGACCCGACAAGGGATCCGGGGAGGCTAGAGCTACCACTGGGGGATCCACAGCCGGGATTTGCAACAAACTGGCATAATCCGGGGCCACATTGTAGAACCTCTTGTCGAGGAGTTGGGAACAGGGCCCATACTAGGAAACTTCCACTGCCTTTGAAGGACATCGGAGAAAAGCTTTGGAGCCGGAATAGTTTCTGTCAGGACAGAAGGCTTCTCAAACAGGGCTGAAGCGGGATCAGAATTGCTAGCCGACTCTTTGGGCTTGGATCCCGGGCCCCCCAGGCGGGTGGTGGTTTGGGCCTTAAAGAGGAAGGATCTGAACATCTGAGGGTGAAAAAGGCCCACAAACGAGGGTTGGTCGGGCTCAAGGCCCTCATCCTCTGACAAGTCCTGATCAATGATGGGATCCTCCTCCCCCGAAACTGAGCCATGGCTATCCCTGAAGGTGAGATTGCCCGCCCCTGAGGCGAGAATCATCCTCTGCGGGCTGGGAATGAACAGATAGGGCCCGGTTGGTGAGATATTCTGAAACCCGAGAGGATGCCCTCTCTTGGAGGCCCTGGGCTATGCCCTGCCGGATAGAATCCGCAATTAATTGGGCCAAGGCAGGAGAAATAGCCTGCTGGGTAGGTTGAGAGGCAGATGGAGAAACCTCCGCCGAGACCTGAGATACAGGTACAGGGCTCTAGGAGGTTGAACCAGGGGTCTAGCAGCTGCCTCTGCCTGGGGAGAAGGGAAAACAGTGGCAATCTCCGAAATTAAATCATTATCCCCTTGAATAGAGATATTGGGAGACAGAGCAGGCACTAGTAGAGGAGGAGGAGGAGGAGGAGGCCCAATAAAGGAGGGCACTGAGAGATCAGGGCCGGTGGATGCAAGAGGCTCAGCTGGAGGAAGTGCTACCTCTACCCTAGGGACAGGAGTTGCCTTGTTAAAGGCCCGCTCCATCGCCTTATGGCGCCGGTCATCCTCCTTGGTGAACTTAGCTGAGGAGGATGAAGGCTTCCCTGAGGAGGAATCATGACCCTGGGTCCTGGATCTCTTCCCTGCCTGGGTTCCTGAAGGGCCCTCTCCCGGATCGGGCCTGAGGCCTCTTTCCCCTGCCTCCAGTAGCGTGGAAAGCTTTGCAGGGACGGCGTCCGCCATTTTGAATGGGGCGTAAAATGGCTGCTAGCCGAAAGTACCTGTCCAAAAAGTCACAATCCGCTCTGCTGCCGTTGGAAGAAGGGGGATTCGACCTCCGCTGCTGTCTCCTGAGGATTGAGAGGCAAGGCGAGATCGCTAGCCGAAATGGCGCTAGCGCGATCGAGAGGGAGGCGCGGGGAGATAGAACGCGCGCCTCACAGCTGCAGGGCAAAGCCCGAATTGCAGCCAAGCCAGGGAGAAGGCAGGAAGAAACTCCCGGTGTGTGCGGCAGAGCAGGCTCGTGCGCACCAAAGGGTTTGCCGGCCGGCAACCCTACCGCCTAGCGGTCTTCAGCGAGGTTGGCAAAAAAGGCCGATCATGCTGGAATTGTTGAGAAGAAAGAGGAGCGTAATAAGGCTATCAACAAGAGGAGAAAACCCTAGACACAAGTGTCCTACTCGACCGAGTCGAAAAACTGACGGCTAAGGCAAGGAGGCGGGGCTTAAGCTTCTTCTGCAGACTCGGTCCTAAACAACTCACAACCGGTCTATGCCCATCCTGACTGCCATTCCCGCCTTCAGGAGAATTTCATTACTACTCCTCAAAGTGCCAGTCCGCAGCATATTTCTTCACTGATTCCTTTAATGATGATTCTAAATGACAGAAGTTATTCACCACTTTAATACCTTCTGTTATTTGTCAGTTTGGTTACTGTACCTGTTGTCATTAATTTGTCTCCAGAACTGGCAATAAACCAATTTGAGCTTCAATGTACAGTAACATGTACTGGCCTACAGTTCAAATGTACCCCTAAAACATGATGAGAAACATAGAAGCTGGAATTTGGCTTTTGTGGCAAGCACCAGGTATTCCATAACGAAAAACATAATTGTTATGATCATCTCCCTCTCCATCTCAGAGGACTGTGGTGGCAAAAATGACAAATGGCCACCCCAGGATAGTCTTTTCCTATGAAAAATGGAAGCACACATTATTGCCTTTTAGTTGGCAGGACACAGGGAACATTCTGGGAATCCATGCTGACTATGAAGACGCCTTGGTGTAAGTTTTTAGTTCTCCACTCTTGGAGAAAGAGCATCTGGAAAGTAGCCCAGGGTCAAGCATCTCACGCATCTGTTTGTTTGGGTGACAGATAGATTCTTCTGAATCCTGCCCGATCCTTGGTATGAGTGACCACCTTCATTAATGGAATGGAGGCTTCATCTGTGTCTTTCCCCAATGCTTAATATGTGTCTATGTTAAACTGTAATCTATGAGAAGTGCATGATTCAACCATGCAAAAGTGGATGAAGAACAAGAGTATGGTGATGTCAAGTTAAGAGAAGGCCATTAAAATACAAATTTACATAAGAGATCCAGCAAAAAGTTTCAGTTTCCAGTGAGATTTTTGATATAAATATGTGTAGCATCAAACGTGTTGCCTGGAAAATACGCATTTGAAATAACTGAAGGCTTAGAACATTGTAGAGACAAAACTGAATAAATTTCCCTCCATAAAAAAATATGGAAAACAGAGAAGAGTATCTTTTTTCCCTTTCAGGAAAAATCTGTTTTATTAAACTTGTTTTTCCTGTTTCTAAATCAAAGAAATCTTCAACTTACTGTTTTTCTTTGCTATGCATTTATCTCTTTCCTCAGATCACTTGTTAGTCAAATAATCATTTATGTACTCACATAACACTTCATTCTCATGCAGTGTGGTATCTTTCCCCCTTTATTCTGTCTCTGGATGTGGAATAAATATCCTTTGGCATGTGCAGTGATAGTGTTTCTCACTCAAAAGCTCAACTACAGAATGTGTGAATTCTATACATGACAGAACCAATTTTATTACTTGAAGAATCACAGTTGTGGGTAAGCAACTTCTTTGAATTAGAAACTAGCAGAATTTAGTACAGGTCACATGAAGAGTTAGCACAGTAAATACCTAATAATCCTTGCACAATCAAACTAAAAATTAAAAATGAATTTTAAAAAGTGGGTACTATTCAATTAACATAAATTGTTTCTGTTATTGGAATACGTCTTCTTTTTAGGAACTACAAACTCCTTTTGGGTCAGACTGTTAGATAGGATTGGAAAAAATGTAAGTAGCTGTTGGACAAGCATATTTCTGTTATCAAAAAATTATCAAGAAATATAGTAAGTTCCCAAAAAACATGGAAATAAGGATGCAATTCTCAATGTCATTATTTATAATTTCAGAATGCAAGTTTTGTTAGCTTATATCATGCACTTAAAGCATGTATTACTTAAGACATCCTTTCAAAGGAATATGTTAATATGTTACTTACATGGAATAGTTCTCAAGTAAAGATTATCTCTGATAACCTGTTGCAGTTTGTGATCAACTGAACCTTTCTGAAACTGTAGGCTTAGGTAGTGACGTAAATCTTTGTTGATGACTTTGCCTGTAATTAAAAATAAAATAAAATACTATAATCTGCTACATGATAGGTAAGATATTCACATAAGATCTTCAAAATGTTTATTGGCAACATGTAGTGGCATCTAAAGTACAAAGTACAAAGTACAAAATAAAAGTGAACAAAAATATATAGATGAGATTTATAAATAATTTGTACTTGAAAATTGCATTTTATAATCTGTCCAATTACTTTAATGGGTTTCACTTGTCTTTGACCTTGAGATATTCCCATGCCAACAATATTTTTATGAATATTCTCTTCCACCATCACTTCATGCAATGGGTTGGGAGGGACTTGAAAGTAATTTGGAGTAACCTAGTTTCAGTTTTAGTATAATTTATTCTAAACAACTGGGGTTTCATAAAACAGCATTTGAAGAGCACATACATTCAGCCTATAAATTCTATTTTGAACTCTGCAATTTGACTTTGTGAAAGCAAAAATCAGAGACTTTCAATTTATTCTTGACTAGAAACTCCTAGAAGGTCATAACATTTCTTATGACACAATAGTTGGCACTCAGTATAGTGAGTGAAGCTGTAGCACTCTGAATAAAATCGGAGTATAAAAGGTTTGTTGAAAATGAAGGACAGTTCACTATTTCAGGTACTCTAGGCATACATTGTATTAAATAACTCTTATCCATAAAGTTTCAAAAGAAAAAAATCCATTATTAGGTATTTTCACATTGGTACTCTCCAACAGACTAAGGTGAATAAGAACTTCAAAATGTCAATGTAACAAATACATTATTTGTATATACAGGAGCCTGGATAGCTCTGCAGATTAAGCACTGTAATTTAACACCAGCTGTCTGCAATTAAAGTAAGTTCGAATCTTGCCAGGCTCAAGGTTGACTCAGCCTTCCATCCTTTCTAAGGAAGATAAATTGAGGACCCAGTTTGTGGGGGCAATAAGCTGACTTTGTATAAAATATACAAAAGTATGAAGGCTATTGCTTAATGCACTGTAAGCCGCCCTGAGTCTCCGGAGAAGGGCAGCATATAAATCAAATTAAATAAAACATAAAAAAAAAATAATGTGTGTCATTTTCTTTATAGGTTATATTCTAACCATTGTATTCATCTATTAATAAATGTCAGTCTATGAAAAATTTGCTTTGATAAAAATCTTAAAATTCTTCTACTACATAAACTTTAATCCTATACTTTTGGTTGATTTGTACAGCTTGTAATAGTACTGATTATTAAGTATAATTTAAGTGAAATATATTTACATCATTTATCAATCTCACTTTTAACATTTTTATTTAATTTCCCATAACAAATAGTCATTCTATGTATTTGTTTTTGAAAACAGTTCTGATATTTTACAGAATTGCTTTTATAACAAAGATATAAAAACTTTACAAAGTTTTTATATTCTATCTCTCATAGCTGAAAATAATTTTTTTTTTTTTTTTTAAATCTATTGAGGGTACTGTTTGCAAAATGTGATTCTGATAAAGCAATGTAAAAAAAATCCTAATCCTAATCCTAGTAAATTAAACCACAGGGTGGTTTAAATCATGCTTTAATTGTGATTTTCATCTATAAAACTCTGTAAGTGTACAAGCTGATGTCATACTGTGGGTATATATGTATATGACACAAAGCAGTGTTGCAAGATGCAAATGATCCAAGCTTTTTTATTATGTTTCCAAGTGAATATACAGTATGCTTTCAGGTTTAAAATAATTATTATTGGGCATTTCATTTCTAAGTTTATATTTTTTAAAAAAGCAATATCACATTTTATTCTCACAAGTATTTTATTACAACGGTCTTATGTGTTATTAGCAAATATATCATATCAAGTGAAAGTTGTTGCTTCGCTGTTCCACAGTAAACACACAATGGAGACATTGTATATTACTTCTCTCATCAATTTGACAGATGGATACAAAGCAAGGTATTGTTCTGGGTCATCCCTCCAGGATGGCTATGTGGGATCTTAATCTGCCATTGAGTCAGCTTTGGAATTTCAAAAAGATTCTAAACTCTTAAACTAGAAACCTAGGTAATACATTTATTATCACAACAAAATTTTAACAAGGTAGAAAATAGCGGAGAATGGAAGTAAGATCATCAGACTTTTTGAACTAAGAAAATTTAATATAAAAACATAAATACATATTTATTATAAAAACAATTATATAAGAAATAATAAGAAATTTGACACTAGGTGGAAGAGCTTGAAGTATGGCTCTGGCAGCACTTATTTATTACAGTTTATCTTCATTTTGGCTAATTCCTGTTTCTCAAAAGCCTGGCATCAGAGAGAGAAAGAGAGAGAGAATACCTGCCCTCACATTTACAAATTAGAAAGATAAGATATATAAAGAGTGGAGTGGAAGAAAAAACAAGGAAACATAAATTGACATTTGAGAAATTAAGGATTAGCTGATGTTTCCTTTCTGACTTGCTTCTTTAAACAGCACTTAATAGTTCACCTGGTTCTCTGACAATGGAAACAATCAGAATATGGTATCTTCCAGCTTTCTGAATCGAATACTGAAATGGGAGCGGGCATGTGAGTGCAGGGGAGCAATGGAAACTGGAAGAGCAGCTCCCCGGCGCACACATGAGGGAGCACCAGAAACCGGAAAAGCCATTCCTGTTTCCGGCATGTGCATGCGTGCCAGTCACCTGGTCTTCCAGTTTCTGGCACGCATGTCGGAAAGCAGAAGAGCAATGGGCAATGGCTGGCGTACCTGGAGAGATGGCTCTGCATGTCACTTCTGGCACTTGTGCCATAGGTTCACCATCATGGTATTATGTCCGCATTACCAATATATTAAGATATTTATACCTTTCATAAAAATAATAAAAGAAACAAGATTAGCTAGGCACGCCTTGTTTTTGGCAAATACATACTAAATTCTAATAATAATTGCACTGATTAGGGCAAGATGTTCACTCTGGTCAATTCAATGCCTACTTTTCAGAGTACACTAAATGAACTTCTCTAAGTAATTGTTTTTACTATAAGGGTACAATCATTCTGCCATCAATATCACAATCCTCTGACCACAAAAATACTTTAAAAGCAAACTAAAAAGAGAGAAAACAATGTACAAGAAATGTCCTTAATAGAAATCTGACATTTAATAGGGTTGTGTTTCTACAGTTGTCAAATAAACTTAGGAAAAGATACAGATGCTTTAAAGAACCAAAAATGACCTCCATCAACATGTTACAGAACTCTGAATTTCCTTTTTGAAATTAAACCCAAAACATTATACTATCTTCAGCTGATACACCAGTTGTGCTTTATCCTGAAATAGAAGATACTGGTAGCAACCTGCCATATGGATTATTGTAATGCAGTCTAAATGGCACTGCCTTTGTAACTGAAGCTGCAACTAGAGCAAAATGTAGCACTCTGTGCACTAACAGGTGCAACTTGTTTCTCCTATATAACTCCAGGACCACAGAAGCGACTTGCCAGTCAGTCTCTAGGGACAATTCAAAATGGGAATTACTATTTTAAAATCCAACAGGACTTGGGGCCTGTAGGGATCTTTGCGATCATTTACTACAAATAGAATTTACCAGCTCAACATATGCCTGCAAAGAATGAATGTTTAGCATACCCTACCACTGCAAGAGAAAATTCATAGGACAGGATTTTCTGCAAGAGCGCCTACCTGTGGAATTCCCTTTCACCAGAAATAAAATCAGCATCTTTGTTGTTAATATTTGAGCAGCTTTTTAAAATGTAGCTATTCCTAAGAGTCCTAGGAGCATTATGAGAAAGGGGCAATTCTTACTGTAGCAGGGATGACTAAAAATTCTAGTAGTACCGTATTTTTCGGAATATAAGACGCACCTTTTTCCCTTAAAAGGGGGTGAAAATTTAGGTGCGTCTTATACACCGAATATAGCCCCGCCTACCCACTGGCCCCTACCCTTTGGCTTCTGCCTCGCAGCAGTTACCTCCTTGTAAGCAAACAGCAAGAAAAAACTCCTTTCAGCTTCAGCACAGCCTAATTAGCACAAGTTGATTGGATCGGCCTCCTGACTCTCAGCTGATTAACGCAGGGCTCTGCTGCTTGACGCAAAGAGGTAAATTGCTGGGAGCAGATTTTTTCCCCCTTGTGCTAATCAAGCTATGCTGAAAACGAAAATGAAAGTAAAGCAGGATGTCTGCTGTAATGTCACAAAATTAGGCAGAGGCAGAGGGAGATTTCTTTTTCTTCTTTTTCTCAACAAAAAAGGTAGGTGCGTCTTATACTCTGAAAAATATGGTAAATATTATGCTAATTGCGATTATAACATTGGTTATTATGTCATTCTTTTATAATTATTTTATTTTTGTACTCATTTTATTACTCCTAAACCACTTAGAATTGCAAGGATTGAAGTGATATAAAGTATCATTTTGTGAATGAATAAATAAATAAGTATAAAAACATAAAGACTAGAGAAATTTAAAATATATCCTCCCTCCCTAAGAAGAATGAGATATACAATAACCTTAGAAAATAGAGAACTTTTGCCACTTCAGATTTTTCTGACAATCTAATTTAAATAATACAGTGTAATCTCCGTCTTGCAACATTCTTGCTTGCCAAAATGAAAAACTAATTCACTCTTGATTCAAGGATGAAAATTTGTTGTAAATGTTGTTAAAACATATAGATAAAAATGGAACTAGGATAACACCTATTACTAGAGAGAATTAAAAGTAAAGGGGGGGGTGTTAGATGATGACATGAATTCTACTAAGCCGGTTCAGAAAGATACTATAACGAATTAACAATGCTATTTGTTAATCCAGATTTGAGTTCTAGTTTGGTGTACTGATTAAGGCACCAGGCTAGAAATCAGGAGACTGAGTTTTAGTCTTGCTCTAAGCCGGGTGTCTGCAATCTGCGGCTCCAGAGCCGCATGCGGCTCTTTCGTCCCCCTGCTGTGGCTCCCTGTGCTGAACCCACCACTGGCTGGCCTTATCCCTCGCCTTCCCCTCCCAATAACTCC